TTTTTGACTCATGTTGTGTTAACCTAAACCGACAATGAAAAAAATCATAAACACATGTAAAACCGATAACTGTGTTTATAAATGGTTTACAAATAAATTAGTTTTGGCTGATGAGTTTTACGCATCACTGTAAAGCCTCGAGCGTTGTATTATACGCACATTAAGTCATGTGATTCACGCAATCACGACCATAATATCAAAATATATAATTTGGATTAAAAATTTCTAAAAATACACAGATTTGGCAAATGTAATTATTTTTTAGATTATATACTATCATATGTATTGTTTATAATAAGCCCTCAAAAGTGTGTAGAAAGCTTGTTGAAAATTTTCAATGCTGAACCTGCATATTTTGGGTAAGACTGTGACTGGGCATATTTAAAAGTAAGGACTAAGGACACTGTATATATATATATATATATATATATAAACATTTCTACCCTAGCGGGTAGTAATGTTTTCAAAGATATTTAAAAACGTCTGTGAATACAGACAAAATCTATTTAAATAGATTTCTAAATTCAAACAATAAAATAAAGCCGTAGATCTGGAAGACCCAAGATATTCAGTGAACCTATAAATCTGGTGATAGGTATATAAATCTGGGATTAGGTTTGCAAATAGTATCGAAAATTATTTTTCAGAAATTGCAGTTAATGTCACATGTACATTAAAATCATCTTCCATAGACGCAATTAAAGTATTATTACACGTTTAAATTTAATCACGTGGATACTTATGATGTTATAAAAGTTTTGTCTATTTATTAGTTTTAAGTCTAATTATTATAAACTTTTTACGACTGGTTGAGAGTACTAGAGATGTAGCCACTCTCCCTGTCCTCTGCAACCAAGATAGAGTCGCGGAGGAAAAGGTGTGCTAGTATTGTGTTGGGCCATGATTCGCCGGGGCTGTACCGTCGATGCAGCGGTGGTGGGGCCGCCGATAGGAGTGTCGGTATTGCGTTACGCCATTCTCCCTAACCTCCACAGCCTCCCTAAGCCACAGACCAGGTCCGCCACTGAGGGCTGGGAGGATTGCTGCTTCTTAACGCTGGCTGTCCTGGCTCCCGTGGCTCCTCTGGTCAGCAAACGGGGGCGAAGGCCGTGCAAAAGAGCCTGAGTATGAAGTCGCGCTGAATGTTTCAGCGTGCCTTACCTGGATGAGAGGGGATTTGCTCCCCGAGAAGCCGCTGCTGAGGCGGCAGCGCTGGCAGGGCCGTGTAAGTGTTCGAAAGCGTTCCCGTGACCCTGTCGATATGAGCCTAGATGAAACATCGTGGGGGTTTCGGTACAAGTCTGACATAACCCGTCCTTGACACTGCGTGGGCGGGTATGCATAGCCATTTCCCCCACGTCAACAAAAAAAAGTACCGGTGATCAATGTGTTCCTCGAATAAAATATCGCAGTCTTAGACTGACCTACACAGGCATGTGACATGAATCATATTGAGCACGCTTGCGATTTCCTTAGAAGAATGGCAATTGAACAACCTCCCCAAAATTTTAACACGGAGCAATATGTTTTTCGTCATTACTATCGAAGATGGAGCATGATTCCACAGGCCACAACACATAATTTGATATATATTAGATGATAGATAATTTGAATTAATTATAAAGATTAATCTGACCTTCTTTCTAAACCTGAATACGCCTTTTTCCCTACTTACACAGTCTAAATTTTTTTTCAAGCTCTTCTTCTCTGTATATTTTTAAACGAAACTGAAATTGTGTTTTTAAAAATTTTGTTTAAATTATGAATTAACATTTTAAATTAACATTTCACACATCCAAAATTAGTTTGATTTTTTTATTTGTTTGTATACGTGTAATGAATCATAATGAATCATTTTTGTAACATTTTAATGGTAATGAAATTTCGATTTTAAATACCTACTATACTTCTTGGCCAACATTTTATGAAATACACTCGGGGGACACATAAAGTTAACAAATTGCCACCATTTGAAACGTGTAAAACGACTTCGATAGCGATATTTTTCCGAGTATTTCAACCGAAGTAGATACCGAACACTATAAAAAAAAAAAAAAAAACGGCACGTCCAGATTTTACTTTTTAATTATTACGAATTAAAGGTGCCTATTTAATACTCATATTTTAATAATGTAAAACTTATACACACTTTACATATGTAAATGGGTTTAATGGAACGGGATGAAAAGAACGAAATTAATTACTTATACACCGAGAGGAACCTCCAGTCAAATTGGCATTGATGATTGTTTTAATAAAAGTGCATGTTGACGCAACCCCTTATTTTATATTAATATTTGTATTCTATTTTACTATCGCAATTTTTATTTATGCCTTAATATCTCGCCCATTATTAAAAATGTCGATATACATTTCAGTGATGATTTATAAGATGATTATGAAGTGTTCTTAGTTACATGTTCAAGACCAGCTGAACTTGTATGCCTTAAACGTCTTAATCGGCGTGATTAAAATGGAGAATGTGTACAAAGTGAAATCGTTCGTTTATGTTTTACATTACGTTCGCCAGTCTAAAAATAAAGGTCAAAAAATAAGGTTTTGACATATCGCGCCATATTCGAAGCTGGTGAATAGGTACTAGGGTATTAGGGATTAGGGCAGTGTTAAATAATGTGTACACATCAAAATAGTGTATCCAAAATGCAGTAACCCCTTAAACTGTAATACAAATAAGAAGTAAACGAATTGCTCTGGAAGGTTTATAGAGTATGTCAATTATTTAAATAAGAAAAAAATAAAAAATAAATTTTAGCGTTTAGCTATCGTCCTTGTCAGAGTTTAACTGCACATAATTATCATAAAGTCGTAACAATAAATCCCTCCTTGGATACCTCATAATTCACCAGACCATACTCGAAACAGATACAAGCAAGTGTCATAATCTGAACTCCAGAAGGTAGCTGAATCCCAACCTCCAATGATAAACCATGGTTCTACTGGAAAATATTCATTTATTCTTTATTTTCTTAATTGCCTGAGCATTATTATACAATCAAAATCAAATATGTAATATGTATAATTTACAGAACCACTTTATTGCCACAGACTCACAGAATTGGTATGTTTCTTTGTGAAGGTGAATACAACAATATCATATAGATGTTATCAAAAGTGTACGGCGTCGGAAGCGTTAAATCATTTATTTGATTAAAAAAAGGCCGTTGTGACTCATGTGGACCCCAGCCATAGACAGCCCTAGCTATAAAGGCAGCTTTTGCAATATAAATATGGTGTCTCAACCGAATAACCCCAAAGTAAAACACCATACGACCTAATGCTGTGAAAATTAGCATAATAAACCAATTTTGCTGTTCTCTCGTTAGTTAACTGCCTGATCTTGCGTATGGAAAATACGGCAGCGCTCAATTAATTACTTATCTACATGAACTCCCCATTGCAACTTGGAATTAATGCATATTCCAAGAAATGCTGTTAAATCCCCAAGACGGTAATATTTTCTCATCAATAGAGATTCTTGGCTGCTGAGCCTGAAAGAGTAAATCTGATATATTCTGTTTAAGTGGAATTCAAAAGTAAATCATTGGTTGCAAATTTTATTTACTTATACTAAATTTTAATTATTTATTTTTAATATTGGTTTGGAGGCCGCACACCTTGGAATTCCAGGAAGGGTTTTTGCCATAGTTGCCACGCCTGGCAAGCGGGTTGCCAACCGCAGTTCTTCCATACACCTCGCACCTTTAACGCTACCGTCTGTCATTGGCCTGGATATTTAGATATTCCACTGGATGGAGTGACGACCTGAGCAAATGTGCCTGAAGTCGATGGATGTAGTTGGCGCAGGATCCTATTTTGTGAAAGTCTATGGGGGAGGCCTATGTTCATCAGTGGACTCAAACAGGATGAGATGATGAATATTGGTCATAGCTTACAACTAACTAACTAATTGTAATCTATGACCAGTTTGTTATTAAAACCAAATAATTGTTTTGTTTCAATTTATCAACCTTTATTATATTTACATATTATTATTTATTCGTAACTGCATGTATGCGCCTGACATAATTATTGAGCAAATTATGTCGGACACATATTGATATTTTTCAATATAAGATTTTCGGAAGTAAACAAAAGAAAAAGAGAATCTTCAGTTTCAGTTGCAGAACCAATAACAAACCAGTAACAAAAAATATTATTTTATGTTCATATTTTTAGGTTGTTTATTTTTTACAGCACGACACAAAACTATACTTCGTCTTAAAACTTCTGTGATACAGGAAAAATCAAAACAAATTGCAATGAAAATTAATAATATTTTGTGGAACTGTAAGATACTGATGTACTATCAGTATCAGTATCAATGCTAAATTTTTATATTAAACTAGCTGACCCGGCAAACGTTGTTATGCCATGTAAATTATTTGTAGGGTAGGAAAAAATGTTTGAGGTGGACCACCTTTAACCTTTAGGGGGATGAAAAATAGATGTCCGATTCTCCACCCTGGCCGATATGCACACAAAATTTCACGAAAATCGGTCGATCCGTTTCGGAGGAGTTCAATTACAAACACCGTGACACGAGAATTTAATATATTAGATATATTGTATACTTTTGTAAATTTTTTGTATATATAATTATACTCTAATGCACAATTTTTGTGCATTATAGTATTATTTGTAATACAATAATAATTTTCTTACCTTTATAAAATACTACCACAAACATACAGGTTTTCATACTTCAAGAACTTGTTTTTGTGTTCAAACCTATAGTAACAAGTGGTTATCAAACTTATTATTTGCTACCCATTACATAAATAAGCGGCTATATACATTGCTATCTCAACGATTCGTTTGTTTTTATGAATCTTCTTAATAGGATGCAGACATGCAATAATCTGTAATATTTGCAAGTCATTTCTATATGACAACATAAATTTAAAAACAGCGTGGCTAAGAAATTGATAACATAAAGTCAACTGTAGTATTGTGAAGTGGCTGTGACTAACGGACGTGTTATGGCGCTAGAAATTAAATATACCAAGGTATTACTCGAGAGCAATTTTTATGTTACGTAATATGTGAAATTTTAATTTTAATGATATATTACATATATTTTTCCTAATGCTGTGAAAATTAGCATAATAAACCAATTTTGCTGTTCTCTCGTTAGTTAACTGCCTGATCTTGCGTATGGAAAATACGGCAGCGCTCAATTAATTACTTATCTACATGAACTCCCCATTGCAACTTGGAATTAATGCATATTCCAAGAAATGCTGTTAAATCCCCAAGACGGTAATATTTTCTCATCAATAGAGATTCTTGGCTGCTGAGCCTGAAAGAGTAAATCTGATATATTCTGTTTAAGTGGAATTCAAAAGTAAATCATTGGTTGCAAATTTTATTTACTTATACTAAATTTTAATTATTTATTTTTAATATTGGTTTGGAGGCCGCACACCTTGGAATTCCAGGAAGGTTTTTTTGCCATAGTTGCCACGCCTGGCAAGCGGCTTGCCAACCGCAGTTCTTCCATACACCTCGCACCTTTAACGCTACCGTCTGTCATTGGCCTGGATATTTAGATATTCCACTGGATGGAGTGACGACCTGAGCAAATGTGCATGAAGTCGATGGATGTAGGTGGCGCAGGATCCTATTTTGTGAAAGTCTATGGGGGAGGCCTATGTTCATCAGTGGACTCAAACAGGATGAGATGATGAATATTGGTCATAGCTTACAACTAACTAACTAATTGTAATCTATGACCAGTTTGTTATTAAAACCAAATAATTGTTTTGTTTCAATTTATCAACCTTTATTATATTTACATATTATTATTTATTCGTAACTGCATGTATGCGCCTGACATAATTATTGAGCAAATTATGTCGGACACATATTGATATTTTTCAATATAAGATTTTCGGAAGTAAACAAAAGAAAAAGAGAATCTTCAGTTTCAGTTGCAGAACCAATAACAAACCAGTAACAAAAAATATTATTTTATGTTCATATTTTTAGGTTGTTTATTTTTTACAGCACGACACAAAACTATACTTCGTCTTAAAACTTCTGTGATACAGGAAAAATCAAAACAAATTGCAATGAAAATTAATAATATATTGTGGAACTGTAAGATACTGATGTACTATCAGTATCAGTATCAATGCTAAATTTTTATATTAAACTAGCTGACCCGGCAAACGTTGTTATGCCATGTAAATTATTTGTAGGGTAGGAAAAAATGTTTGAAGTGGACCACCTTTAACCTTTAGGGGGATGAAAAATAGATGTCCGATTCTCCACCCTGGCCGATATGCACACAAAATTTCACGAAAATCGGTCGATCCGTTTCGGAGGAGTTCAATTACAAACACCGTGACACGAGAATTTAATATATTAGATATATTGTATACTTTTGTAAATTTTGTATATATAATTATACTCTAATGCACAATTTTTGTGCATTATAGTATTATTTGTAATACAATAATAATTTTCTTACCTTTATAAAATACTACCACAAACATACAGGTTTTCATACTTCAAGAACTTGTTTTTGTGTTCAAACCTATAGTAACAAGTGGTTATCAAACTTATTATTTGCTACCCATTACATAAATAAGCGGCTATATACATTGCTATCTCAACGATTCGTTTGTTTTTATGAATCTTCTTAATAGGATGCAGACATGCAATAATCTGTAATATTTGCAAGTCATTTCTATATGACAACATAAATTTAAAAACAGCGTGGCTAAGAAATTGATAACATAAAGTCAACTGTAGTATTGTGAAGTGGCTGTGACTAACGGACGTGTTATGGCGCTAGAAATTAAATATACCAAGGTATTACTCGAGAGCAATTTTTATGTTACGTAATATGTGAAATTTTAATTTTAATGATATATTACATATATTTTTCATTAAAACTTTACAGCTTTTCATCGATAACCAATGGGTTGATTCTGCTAGTGGTAAAACATTTGAAACATACAACCCACACGATGGCTCCGTTATTGCAAATGTAGCTGAAGGAGATAAGGTAAGTACATAACATAACAAGTAATCATCGAGAGATGAGCAGAAAATTCGAAATTAAAATGATTGGCTTTGATATTTTCTACCTTCAACATAATCTACTGTTGGCGTGGTTTGTTTAAATTTTACCTAATTCATTTATTTTGCAATTTACGTCATATTTTATCAATACTAAGATAAGTACGTATCTAATGAGAACGAAAAGTGTTCTAGTAAATTTTACGGTAAATTTTTGGTACATTTAATAATTTTTAAAATATTTAATGATTACAAAAAATACTATGCTATAAATGTCAATGTAACATTGGCATTTTTAGGTTTAGTTTACAATCCACAGATACTAGCAGTTTTTTAACATTATATTGGTATGTTTAAGACGGATATAGATTTGGCTGTTCGAGCCGCTCGCCGGGCGTTCCATCGTAATTCGGAGTGGAGACTATTCGATGCAGCTCAGCGACGGAACTTGCTTAACAAGTTTGCCGACTTGATTGAACGCGACACGGCTTATCTTGCTAAATTAGAAACATACAACAATGGCATGTTACTAGCCAGTAGCAAATATTTCATAGCTTCATGCGTCGACAACGTACGCTATTTGGCAAGTTTAGCCGACAAAGTTCAAGGAAATACTATTCCTTTAAGTAAGTATAACATAAACCACTGGAGATGTACATTTATCGTAATTATTAATTAAGGTATATAACTAAGCGAAAATTTATTTAACTTTTACACAAAGTCCGCTTACACACAAGGTGTAGTTGTCCAGTTGTGTAGATCTCCTAGGTGAAGTAGAGCTAAAGACGTACGAATAAGTGAATAAAAATGAGTCAGTGGTGCAGTTTCTATTGCAGTTACCATTGGCTTCGGCATCGAGGGTCATAGGCTCGATTTCTTCACGGGACAAGTATTTGTGTGACCCACAGGTTTGCTCCAGATTTGGGTGTTTGTTCCCAACGACTTCAGGCAGGCGGCTATCCGTAAAAATGTAGCCTATGCTAATAACAATAAAGTGGTTCATATTTTGTGCTGACATCGCCTAGGTGGGATAAGGACAAGAGAAAAATGAATAAATGAAAAAAAAAAATAACCCGATCAAAGTCTACAAAGTTCATCTCTCTTAGCCTCTCTCTAGTTTCAACTGTCTCCACCCATCGATGTGTTAGGTACATCAGAAAAAACACCAGTTGAATTGAATAAGAGATAGCAATATAGTGATTTCGATAACCAAATTTTTAAGGATTATAAATTCAAATAGAAAAAATAGAGGCTCTAGTCAATTTGATAGCAATGGTGTATGTAAGTATCATTCTGTTTACAGTTTACGTTACATGTGATAATTTTAGGTGGTGAGGTGTTTTCATACACGTTGAAGCAGCCTGTAGGTGTGTGTGGTTTAATTTTACCATGGAACGGTCCGGTAATGATGTTTCTTTGGAAAGTAACAACGGCATTAGCAGCAGGTAAAATGCTATAATCTAAATAAATTCTTTGAAGTCTTTGAAGACGTTGATCCGCAACTGTGGCTTCTCCAAAGTAATAAAAAGCAAAACATAACTCTATGAATAAAACCAATACGTACTTCTGTTTAATCTAGTACAGAATTTGTGCCCTTCTATGGATTTTTAAAAAGAACACTGACACTAATTCATGAATATACCACAGGATGTTATGAACTAAAATAAAATTTGTTACCAAATTTAGGATGTACAGTGGTGGTAAAGCCAGCGGAGCAAACACCACTTACTGCTCTTTATCTGGCATCACTTCTGGCTGAGGCTGGCGTACCACCAGGAGTTGTGAACGTTGTAAATGGGTTCGGTGAAACTGCCGGTGCTGCTCTCACCCATCATCCAGATGTCAACAAAATTTCATTCACTGGATCGCTTGAGGTATTATAATGATGATAAAATGAATATACATATGTTAGCCTTGAAAGCTTTAGATTTAGTTAAACAAACAATAATTTTAATTACCTTATCGTTAAATTGTTTTTGATTTTATACGTCTTCTGGTGTGTTTGGAAAAAAATATGACAGTGAAATATTTACTATGCGCTCGCGCACCAACAGGTAAAAAGGGTCATGATTCCTTTTTAGCATATGGTATTTCAATTTATTATTGTAAATTTACTGTAATAAAGAACCTTATACATAAAACTCACTGCACATATCGCTCAAAGATTTATGTTGACACACGCCGATGATGTAGATTGTATTCCGAAACAGGACAAAAACATAATGAACATATAAAATTTTATTAACCTTCACAATTTTTATAAATAACTAGAAAAAGATATTATCTTAAAATGTATAAAGTAACATTCAGTAAATTATTTTTATATAAGGTGGGCAAGCTTATTCAAAAGGCAGCTGGAACGAATAATCTTAAAAGAGTGACGCTGGAACTAGGAGGCAAGAGCCCACTTGTTATAATGAATGATGCTGACTGTAAGTTATTTTTTTATATACTACGAATACTAAAATATAAATAGGTAATTTTATATGAACTTTTGAAAGAATTCAAGTATACTTTACTTTGTCTGGTGTTTTTGACTTCAGTCCGTTTAACTATTAAAGCTTTATCGAACGCATTACTTGTGAGATAGCCAAATCCCACGTACTATAGACAGCCCTCCGTGTTGGATTAACTATTGAATGTTAAAAACCATTGGCGATGAACCATTTGGTTAGCTGTCTTAAATCTTGGTAGAGCGTCTTGAGTTTACATTGGCTATGCAAGTCGTTATAACTGCATTTACCTTTTGTTTTTAGTGAACGCTGCTGTACCGTATGCTGCAAATGGTGTGTTCGGTCACCAAGGACAAATCTGCGTAGCTGCTTCAAGATTGTATGTGCAATCGGGAGTTTATGACGAATTTGTTAAGAGAGCTGTAGAATATGCTAAAAATATCAAGATCGGACCACCTAACGATGCAAGTACACAACACGGACCTCAGGTAATTTGAAGTTAGCGCAAACTTCTTCATGAATAACATTAATCAATAATTTTGTACGGTTGTGATATGTATAATGTACATTATTTCAGATTGATGAAACAATGATGACGAAAATCCTAGGATATATAGAAAAAGGCAAACAACAAGGTGCAAAACTTCTAGCAGGAGGGAAACGTTTTGGAAACAATGGTTTCTATGTTGAACCTACCGTTTTTGCAGATGTCACAGATGAAATGATTATTGCTAGGGAAGAGGTGATAAATTCTAGAAATCGGAAAACTTAATATTAAAGTAATAATTTCTCCTAAAAAGTCGCATCGTCAAAGACTATATACTTTTTTCATTTCACAATTATATTCGACCAAATAATTGCCTTTACCCATTTCTAAAAGGTGACGCAAAGGTTTATCAAACAATTTAACGCCGAGCTATAATGGTAAATGAAGGTTATCACAAGAATTTTAACATCGAATTATACTGCCATCGGGGCCATGTTCTGCACTTGGGTGACTACTTGTCCCTCAGTAGATAAAGCATGAGCACATGCACGGCTGTAGCCAACGTGGTGCGCAGTATGGATCTCCTAGAATTTGTCTGTTCCACGAAATCTGCGTTCGATGAAGCTTTAATAATCTATATAAAGCAAAAACTTCATTCAAGAGTGAAATTTTGTGCACATGATAATTTTATGTCTTAACTAATCAATCATTTGTGATATAATATAAAACTAAAATACTAACTAATTTTTTATCGAAGTTAACATAAATCTCTTGATTTATAAAAAAAGATATTAGTGATTCATTCAATTGAAGCTTGAAGCGGTGCGATCGTATTGCGATATATTTTTTAAGTAAACGTAATGTTTTACTCAAATTAAATGTTCATGTCGTTATTTGTAATGCAAACATAAGTGAAGTGAACAAATGGAGATTTCAGTCAGCAGTTTCATAGCGCCAACATATTATTTGCGACGTTGCCGTTTCGAACAGATTAGTGACTTATGTATTGTACAGACTTATAACAAGATTTTTCCTTTTTATTTCGTTTAGTTAGTTCAAAAAATGCATTTATGATTTATACGAAAAATCATATTTTTCTCTCTTGAACGAACTATTTGGGAACATTAATAAAGAGAATAATTTTGATGATGACCTTTGCACACCCATATAGAGTGACTCATAACGGCAAGGTGCAGAAAATATTTAAGGTCAATTTGTTTAGTAAATAATTGATTTATGTGAATTTTAGATATTTGGACCGGTACAAAGCATTTTAAAGTTTGAAACGCTAGAAGAAGTTATTGACCGTGCTAATGACACTGAATACGGTCTGTCAGCTGGAATATTCACATCGAATTTAAATACGGCATTACAGTTTAGCAAACACGCAGAAGCAGGAACTGTTTGGTAATTCAACGTGAAATATTATAATAATAAATTTCAAGTAAAAGTACAAAAGTAACAGCTCATACATGCCCCACTGCTGGGCAAAGGCTTCCTCTGTGCACGGGGTATTAGTACACCCCGTGACCCCAATGCAGATTTGCAGATTTTGTTATTATTTCGAAAATATGTAGGTGTCCTCACTACATTTTTCTTCACCGCTGAGCAAGTGATAAGTCAGCACTTAAAATGGCAGTTGACAATTTTATTGGTGGTGGCACCGGGATTAAAAGCGAGTGCCCAGACACTGAGCTATCGCGGCCACTATATGATTTAAGTAATAAATCAATCTCAAAATTGCTTTCATTTGTTGTTACAATTTTCAGGGTTAACAACTATTTAACCTTTGGACCACAGGCACCCTTTGGGGGTTTTAAGAATTCTGGTATTCACAGAGAAAAGTAAGTTAAACACTGACATAATTTTAATAAATAGTACTCATTTGATAATGAATTAAATTTTTTTATTTTCTTTTCAGTGGATCAGACTGCTTGGACCCATACTTGGAAGTGAAGACTGTAACTATAGCGTTACCTAAAAAGGTTTAGAACTTTTTTAGTAATAATCTCTTTTTTCATAAACTGTTAGCTTTATCTTGTAGCATTAATAAAAAGTCTGTGGTCCCGTCTTAGTAATGGAATATTATTGATATTTTAGAAGGACGTAACAAGACGCACCCGTCTTTTCTGCGGCAATCTAGTTTTCGATTGGAATTTGTCTTTTCTCCTTTCGCGTCTCTTTGGACTCTCGTTTATTAATTTTACATAAAAGATAAAAATAACATACAGATAAAAGCATACAAACCTTCGGCCAGAAACATGTCAAAAAAGATCTGCACACCTGGTTATTTTAAAACAAAAAATGTTTTTATTAACAACGACTTTTTAAAATCAAGATCTAAATTCAACTAAATATATGTTTTTTTTTTTCTTGATTAAGTCGTTTTATAAAAGTCTCTCAAGAAAATTGAAAAAACCAAGTTCACCCAGTTAGTATGCTTAATCATGTGCACTGTGTGAAATAAATTAAAGTGAAAATCAAACAATTTTGAATTTAACCCTTTTTCAATCAATTAAAAATCTTTATTCAAATAGACCCTTGCGCGTTCTTATGAATCGTCAAATTTTACATAAAACTTTATACATAGAGGTTCGTAAGGTACCACCGGTGAAAGCAGTCTCTGTTGAAAAGAGACCGGCAAGAAACTCAACAGTTGCTCTTTTTCAAAGATATCAGTTTACAATATAAAATACCGGTATAATAGTCTTATTCTACCCTACGTGAGTATCAACAGTATTAACTCCACACTTTGGAGTCGTCGAGATATTCCGCAATAGTGTAATATGCTTTAACCATAAGTTGACTTTTGATTTTACGTTTAAATTGATCAAGCGGCAGACTTAATATCGACTGTGGGATTTTATTATACATGCGCACACCTTGCCCCATGAAAGACCTATTTACTTTTTGTAGGCAAAAAGAAACTTCAGAAAATTAAAATTTATCTTGAAGGTTCCCAGGGCATAACGATTCGGAAAGACTGCCGGCGGCAGGTTTTGCGAGGCAGGAAATGTCTAGAGGTTCTGTGGTGGACCGCTGGACATCGTTGTGATGTGGACGTATTTTTTTTCTCACCAAAACTAAAATATGGCTACTCATATTTCTATTGCATACTAGTAAAATAAGAAAAAGAATTATTAATATAGACATACTGCTAATGTCAAAAAAATATTATTAATTAATGATTTCATTTGCGCGATAGCCAAAAGACGCGGTTCGAATCCGACAGCGCCGAATTATAATATGTTAATTTATCTATTAGTCATATTTTAATTTTATATTAAGGATTATAATTTTTAAAACATTTAAATTTCATATAAACAAGAAATGCAAATCGTTCAGAAATTCATTATAATATGCTATCTGAAAGTGTCGGGATTTTTAGCCAAAAATCTTTTGCAAACATTTCTTTTCTTGCAATTTTAGCAATGCCAAGCATTACTAAAAATGCAAGAAAAAAGATAGTCCTATTTCTATTACAACATAATTCACATGTTGTGATGACCCCACCTAGATGGGATAAGGAAGGAGGATGATGATGATCTTTAATACCAAAAAGTTGCATCTGAAAAATATCTTTTCCTGATCTGAACGATTTCTTAATTTCTCTCCAACAAAAGAGACAAATATTGACATAATATAGCGAAACTAAAACAATTCCAGAATCGATCCCTAAGATACTATCGTTCGCGCTATGCAACCTCATAATGAACTTCCATTTATGACTACTTGTATCTCTCTTTTACAAAAGTGAGGTAATAAAAAAATATGTATCATGTTACACCCGCTTGGGACAAAGACTATATATGTGGTTCTGAAGAACAGAGAGACAAAAAATACAATTAAGACTATTTAAAATCTACCATGCAAACACGTTGCTAACTCAGTATTTTAAATAAGTCAATATTACCGTTTAAATTCGCTGCTTGGATCTCAATATAACTGTGACCTTAGGATGTCGAACATCTTCCTTGGTCTTGATTGTGTAAGATATTTGAAACTTAGGTAGTTTATAAATAAAATAAACGTGTTAAAATGCTTTTTTTTTAAGATTGTTTTTTTATTAGTTTGAAGTCTGACTGCTGGAAAAACAACGGCAAAAGTTAAAGCGCAACCTTTTTGTAAAAGAGTAACTACAGCGTAATTTTGATTTGAAAATGAGCCTCGTGGTCGTCCGGACACTGGTCAACAATGATGAATTAAAGGCGATTGTGCAAGCTGATTAGACTCAATCTACAGCCAAGCTAGCAGCAGCTTTTGACGTTAGCATCAAATAAATATTGGTCCATTTGCGACAATTTTTTTTTTGCTGATAGATGGGTTCCCAACGTACTTAACGATTGCCAGCGCAACGTACACATGACCAGCTCCAGACTGGTCAACAGGCACAGAAATGGTCAGTTTTGGTCAATCCGTAGTCCCCGCTACTCCTTCATGACAATGCGGGACCCCATACTACACAATAGATAGTATCCAAGCTGCAAGAGTTGGGGTTGGAAGCTCTCTCTCATCTGCCATACTCATCAGACGTTGCACCTATCGACTATTACTTTTTCCAAAATTTTGACAACTTATTAGGAAAAAAATTCAGGCAGAACAGAATGCCTTTGAAGAGTTTTTGCCTACCGTCCAGCTGATTTTTACAAGAATCAAGGGCATCATTAAACTAAAACTGCGTTGGCAAAAATGCATTCATTAAATGGGTGATTACTTTGAAAAGCATTAATAAAACGGCAATTTCATAGGAAGCTAATATTAACTCAATTAATTTATGAAACGATACTTGGCAACTTTAAAAAGGATGTAATTGAGCACAAGTAAAATATATTTAAATAATCCTTCATGGACTAGAATGATTTACATGTATTTTAAGGATCAGAAATTAATCAATTTATGACCCTGTATTAATTAATGAATTTATGACCTTGGTAGTCTCGTCTTTATTTAATCATATGTATAGAATGATTTTATTTTACATTGTGTGACATAAAAATTATTTCAAAAGCTTATTATAACCAGCAAAATAATATCCATCAAATATTATAATAATATTATCCGAAGCATTTACCAATTTTATCGTTTATAATTTTGTTCATGAAACTCTCTAACTTACAAAAACGATGTTGTGTAGAATACGCCTCGTAGTGGCTGTTAAAATAATAAGCAAAATAGAAGCTATGCCATTAACCGTGTTAGAATACTTTTGAAGATTTTTTACTAAAATAATATGAAATTATAATTACTATTTTTGTTGGAGAAAAAAAAATTTTAATTTTTTTTGTAAACTATTTTGAAAACATTAATAGACATTATAAACAATCAGCAACGTCTAAAATAATTAGCAAAAATAATATCGTAGGTTACACATCAATTCTTGATACGTTATTTTTCCGCTTCTTGACGCACAGATATAATTGAAGCTATAAAACAAAACAAATTAAAAAATTATAACAGACTAGCGACCCGCCCCGGCTTCGCACGGGTGCAATGCAGAATGTTTGTCTTCGACATCGCATTAGAAACCTTAAAGTTATCAGTGTTTGTCTACTATATTATGCATGAAATATACATATAAACCTTTCTCTTGAATCACTCTATCTATTAAAGAAAACCGCATCAAAATCCGTTGCATAGTTTTAAAGATCTTAGTATATATATATATAAGGACTGACAAACAGCGGGACGACTTTGTTTTATACTATGTTGTGATAATACAGTAATGTTAACTTGGTTTTTCCATTTTGCTGTTACTAGATAATACATTTATTCAAGAGTCTAGGTTTTCCCGGACTCCATAACTACCTTATGCGTTTTTTGCTCAAACATCTCAGGTTTTTAACATTTAAAACTAGAATCACAATTTAGTGTCTGTTATTTTACACGATTAAATAAATTTTATTTGTACTGCATGACTAATTTTAAACATAAGTCAAATTTAAAAATGGCTTGCTTATTTTAACATGTGGAATAACCTTAGTGCTGTAATATATAGGTTAATTAGTTTATAGTTTGCATCTGAAAATCGCACACACATTTCATAAACATCATCATTTCAGCGTGTTTGAGTCCACTGCTGAACATAGTTCTTCCGAAAAGATGAAGAAGGATCATGAACCATCTATCTACTTCCGGCACTCTCACACAGGTTGTTACTCCATCTAGTAGGGGCTCATACAACACTACTGGTGTGCTCATACAACATTATGATGTAACACTTAATGTTCGTAAAACAAAACAAGGATCATACAGTTTGAATATTTTATCATGGAAAATAAAGGTACTATAACATGTATTTATATTTAAGTCTGGACAACTATTTCTTTCGAAATTTAGTGTAAAATGGGTATGGACAGATGGAATTCATTTATTTAATAATAATACTTTATTTGCCATAACCCCAAAAAATGAGCAAAAATACACAGAAAAATATAAAATAATAACTATAATACACAAAAAACGTATATAAATAACATTTTGGCAATAAGGTAATAAGCTCAGCGATTTCTGAGAATTTCTCAGTACTGATTTTCAGTTCAGAAGTGTTCTTAGTATAGCTTTACATCATCATTTACAAATATTAGCGGTAGTTGGCATATTTTGTTCAATTACGTCTATATATAGTAATAACGATAATGTAATGTAATTTAAGTTAAGTAATTTATATTCAAGACAGAGAATTCATCAAATATATTTTATTATTTAAGGAATGATTATGAAATTAATAACTCTTACTTTGATTAAATCTGAAATATTAAAAGCAGTTATAAGCTTGTTTTATAAGTGTTGATATAAAATACGCTATATAGAACTAACTAAGTATATAAAGTATATAAAGATTCATAGAAATTAAAAATGCACCAAAACCTTGTCTCTAATCGTGAATCAATTGTTCGAAGTTCGAAACATGAAGGTCGTCATTGAAACGAATTCTAAACTCTATAAAATACTTTCAACATGCAAATAAGCAGCTAGCCTTAATTTGGCTATTCAAAGATAAAATTAAAATAACAATGTACTAAAACTACTTCAATACTGCTAGAATAACAGTTATTTTAAATGGTCTCAGATAGTGTCTGCTTTTTGAGCTCTCAAATTTGTCATCCGTTTACTGATCAGTAAATAATGAGATGCACATCATAGTCGATCATTAATTGTTTTATTATCCCTCAAGTGTATAATTTTTTTTATTTATTCCTTCATTTCAAAAACGTACCCTCGATTTTTTTAAGTTTTTCCTGAATATATGCAAATATATTTCTGCTGGCTCCAGTAGATTCGATGTGACCTTACTTTAATTTAAATCGTCCTGAACAGTTATCTCTGATGACTCAAATAGAGACGATGTAACCTTCCCCTAATTTTGCTAGTCCTGCGCAGCTAAGTGTCTTTTGTATAATATGTGTACGAATGAGACATTTACACAAGCAAGCTTCTCTAGATGTTATGCAACGCTTTACCTAAAGCCCTGCTAAAAGGCTAAAATGTATATGTGAAATCACAGAACAAGAAGCATATCTTATAAAGGACCGACGCGGAAACATCAAACAATCGTGCTTCGTCTGGTGAGTGAGGTAATCGTCTCGATAAAAGAAATATATTGTTTCCTTACACATATAGTCACTCATAGATAAATTGGGTGATTCATTTAACACTGTACTGATGATTACATATGAATGTTATGTATGTAAAAACTTGTGTACATCAAACAATATAAATACTTCCTAATTATAGTTTTGAATAGATAATTATGAACAATTAAATATTGATTGTTTTAGGGTTCCGTTCCTTAAATCGTAGAAAAATATCCTTACAAACAAGACCACGAATAGAAGAAAAATTACAAAAAAAAAATTAAACGGTGGAAATTAAGGTAAATTTTGGTACTTACAAGTTTTCGCGAAAATCGTAATTTGTCCATATATTTTATCGTGTTGACTCAGGGCCTTGATCCACCTGATAGGAAATATAGATATCCATTGGTTTTTTGTTGACCGATGTCTGATGATCCGATGTTTGATGAGACAATGTTTGATTTAAAATGTCTCTAAGATGAATGTTTCACCTGCCCTCAGACTCTGGTGATTACGACTTCATGTGTAATTCAATCTTTATGATATCTTTTTGCCATCATATCGACAATGTATTGAATAAAAACCGGCCAAGTGCGAGTCAGACTCGCACACGAAGGGTTCCATACCGACCTCACAAAAGACCGGCGTAAAATAGAAGTGTTATACTTCTACGTTTCGTCTGGTGAGAGGTGACCGGGGCCCACTTTATTTAAAGATGGCAACTCATTTGCAACCCTACAGGTGTTACAAATGTCCATGGGCGGCGGTTATTACTTAACATCAGCTGATCCGCCAGCTTGTTTGCCACTCTATCACATTAAAAAAAATCCCACTTATTTATATTTTTTGGTTTTTAGTATTTCTTGTTATAGCGGCAACAGAAATACATCGTTTGTGAAAATTTCAACTAACTATCACGATTCATGTGATACAACCTGGTGACATATGGACAGACATACGGACATACAGACGGACAGCGGAGTCTTAGTAATAGGGTGCCGTATTACCCTTTGGGTACGGAACCCTAATAAGTCCTAAGCTCTAACCATCAACCTAAATACATTTAAAGGTGGTAGGGCCACGCAGCAGCCTCGGCTGTTGCACAAACGGGCAAGCCCGTCCGGATAAGTACCACGACCTCACAGAAGACCAGCGTAAAGTGGAAGTATGACAAATACTTTCGCGTTTCGTCTGGTGAGTGAGGTAGCCAGAGCCCAATTTTCAAAAGGTTGTCAACGCATCTGTAACGCTCGGGTGTAGCAGATGTCCATGGGCGGCGGTATTCACTTAACATCAGGTGACCCGTCGGCTCGTTTGGCAACTTTTCGCATAAAAAAAAATGCATAAAATTGCATGCATGTCATAGTTTTGTTACGCACTGTACCTTGCTGAGGAATAGTCAAATAATAACGAAGATTAGGGGATATTGTAGTGGATCATACAATCGGTGTAACTCAGAAACCCTTTTAAGTTGGCCGTGTCTACCGTGCAGCACTATATCTCTGGGGCCATTTTATGGTTCGGTACCCAAAGGGTAAAATGGGACCCTATTACTAAGACTCCGCTGTATGTTTGTCCCTCTGTCAACAGGCTGTATCTCATGAACCGTGATAGTTACAGAGTTGAAATTTGATCTGGGTGTTTGTTCCCCAAGGAGGTTTAACGTCAGGCAGGCGGCTGCTTGTAAAAATATAGCCAAAACCGCGTACAACATGATTCATGTTGTTCCAACCCACCTAGGTGGGATAGCGGCAGGAAGATGATGATGACTTGTATACTTGTCCCTCTATTTTAAAAGTTCGCGTCAAACAAAGTAATTTGAAAGAGGTTATTGTACTTTCGGATATTGGTTTAAAATGTTCAGATGGTGAATGATTATTTAACAAAAGATTTTTTATTGGCTGTGGCGGCTCCTCAATATTGGGGAGACTATCTTTTCCAGAAGCACAGCACATACTGTTTGGTTCATCGACCCATTTTTAGGCAGAAGACTGAGCAGATCTTATTCATCGCTTTGAATTGGAGGGAAGACTGTTGAGCATAATGCAAAAAAGCTGATCTGTTACTGTGAGCTAAAACTCGATTACGACCTCTAGTGGTTGACATTTGTTGTCTTTCTCTCTAATCTCGTAGGCGTTGGGAACGCTCAGAGCTCGATTCCCTAGTGCGAATTTGTATATTAATATTATTTTGCTCTTCAAGCCACTGCAAACACTCTACTTGACTGTCTCCGACTTGTAAGACGATTTTAAGTTTCCGGTAAAGAGTCCTCATTACGACGTATTTTTGATGCCCTCGCTTGGGAACTGTTTCTAGAAAGATGAGATCTTGATCTCCGGGCATTTTAAAATGATGTTGAACAGGAATTACCAGTATAAATGTGATTGAAAAATTATAAGAACTACAAGTCAGTCACTAAGCTGTTTGGATAGTTAAATTACAATATACTAACATTTTTAAACTTGCCATATCTAAGGAATGGAATGTCCGAATTGAATAATTCAAAAAGTTATATAAAGATATTGAAACTGTCTTAAATATGAAGTAATTTATTTTTATAAGGATTAAGACCAAGATACAAATAAACAGCCTTTTCTAGCGGCGGCATTTCAATCAAAATTTTAAAATAAAAGAACACTTATTGTGGCATACCTATAATAGTTAGACATGTGGTGTCGCGACACTTTTTGTAAATAATGATGTGTTCTACAAAGTCGTAGTACATTATTTTATTCTATCATCAATAGTTTTCGCAGCGCACGCGATATAAAGAATATTTTAGGTAATTTTTGTACACCTTGAGTAACATTATTAGAGTTTTAGTAAGGATCCCTAAGGTTTTTGAAAATATAATATAGCCTATATCAAGCAAGGATAATGTAGCTCCCCAACAGTGAAAGAATTTTTCAAATCGGTTCAGTAGCTTCAGAGTCTATTCAATACATACAAACAATCAAATCTTTCCTCTTTATATAATAGATGTCTAAACCTTTAGACGGATTTCAACATTATGGGTGTCCGTAGATTCGTTTAGCTTCGTATCAATATTATATCCGCAATAAAAATCAGTATTTTTTACGCAGTTGGGTTACAGATAATTTTTAATTGGTGTCATATTTTCAAATAGCATCGCTTTAATATCTTGTTTAATAGCTAGTCCGGCGACATACTTATTTCCTCCTAGTGATAAAACATCCTGAAGTAACATAATTATATAAAGATAATAATATTACTATTTCACACAGTACTAATTTCTCGGCCCAATTTCATAATGGAAGCCAGTTAGTTAACTTTAAACATTAAATCTAAAAATTTAAGTATACTATTTACAATCAGTACATTAACTCAATTTGTAAAGAAGTGAGAATAAAGGTTATATTCCACAGAAATAATCGTATAAATGCTAAGGCTAATGGTCAAGATTAAACAGAGATTTTCTTTTATTAATTATTAATTAAAAGGAACATAATGTTTTGACTGCATGCCAACTTTTAGTGGTAACAAACAATATTTTAGGTCAGACAAACTTAAGCAGGACAATCTCTCTGCAAAAATCTTTCAGCTAGGAGATAAATATTTATCTTGTTCTTAATGCAATCACTTTCATTAACGTTTGTTTAAATAAGTCTTGATGAACGTTATTTATTTTTGACTGTTGGTATATTATAATGATAATATTTGAAATGAAATTAAGTTTAAACGAGTTGTCATATACTATATTTTTAGCGAGTGGAATTTTTAACACAAGTGTTAATAGTTGGCAAGTTGACTTTACGATGTATTCTGTCAACCACATTAATTTTGTAATGACAATGACTATAGTCTCCATAGATGGTCTTATATGTATTGTATAAAAAACCTTATATTGTCTGAATAAGAAAAGGAACAGTTGCTTAATATTTTTATGCACTTTTGATATATGCTCTCAATATATATATCTATATCATATAATATATCTATATCAACAAACGCTGCCTTTTGTTTATGAGGCACCGTTTGCATATAGAAAATATCATCTTGAATTATTTGGCTATGTGCGCATCTTGATTTTTATGGCATTGCGTTTGGTGGTGACCACTAGCAACAATTAAGACTAAGAACTGTTGAAATGTCATTAACGGTATTTTCCATTGCTGTGTAATGCAAAATTTGTTAAAATTTAAAGACCCAAAAATCTTTACTCAGAAATGTGAATAATTAAATCAATCTGATGCAACAAGTTAGCATAAAATTCGAGAAGAAGGTTAACATACTGGCGGGTCATCTGATGTTAGGTGATTGCCATCGCTCATACACATCCGCAATATAGATGTGGTTACATACTCTTTGCCTACATATAAGATACGCTCGGATACCTCAGCCACAAAATAGGACAGAATAAATGGGGAAGTATAAATGCTTCTACGATATACCGGTTTTCCGTGAGGTGCAAGCCCCTTTATGCGATACAGTACGAAAAAAATCTACTACCTGACACAAATGTTGCTCCAAAACAAAATAAAACTGCACAAGCTGACTAGCAACGACTGCTGACTGGAAAATACTGTAACGATCATACAACCATCGTTACTTCAATGATCTTACTCGGGAGACGTGTGTTATATCAGACAGATCGACACTGTAAATAAGTGTACACAACGAAATTATGTATAAATAAAAATAAAGTAAAAACCTTATATTACGGTAGTTTTCATAAAAAGTTATTTATAAATTCCTACATCGATAGTCTCTCGACAGATTTTTAGAAGTAACGCTGACTGTTCTCTTCTGTATTCTGATTAAATCAAACGGACCTATCCAGATCCAGACAATTTTAATATAAACGTCATTAACTTTGTGAATCAAAGAGACCTTATGGTTCCTTGCAACCGTTATTGAATGTATAAAAAAGTGTTGCAATTGCTATGCTACCAATATTTGTAGTACTATAAACAAAACAGACATTTTGTTTTATTAAATTCACTATTACGTTTTGATACATACTTTTACGAGGTTCGTATATATCTGCTAATAATAATTTATGGAAGAAAATAAATGAGGAAACAAAATTTTAACAACATTTATTTGGCTTGGCAAACAACGACTTTAAATAACAAGACCTAGATTGCATTAATATTAACAGACTTAACAATACTTAAATATAATAACATTTATATTTATCACATTTTATACTCATACATTTTAAAGTTCCACAGTTAAATATCTTGGAATAACAAATCGATCGATTAAATATTATAAATTATTAAACTGTGTCTGTGGTACTTTTTGTATATAATTGAAATTCACCCTTCTTTTCCTAACAATCTCCGCGAAGTTGAATGCAGATAGCTTAGGAATTCTTGTTTTTTCTGTGCTATTGAAGTCCACATGGAAAAGTCCAAATTTGACGCTGAAAATAATAATAATAAAATAGTTAAATAATAGGTATGTATAGTACATTTCATAATTTATTTATTTACATTTTTTTTTTTGAACAGGTGAACATAATATTGTTAACTAATCAACATTCTGGGTTACGCAGTGATGAAAGAAGCAGGCGTAAAAATTAAATAAAAAAACACTACAAAATATACAGCAAATACATTAAACGTAAAATTATAAATAAAAAATCGTTATAATAAACGCGATCATTGCAATACATACATAAGTATAATATACACAGATACGTAAATTATATGTGCACGTAATGTATTGCGTATAATAAATTAGTTGAAGTATAAAAACGAGTTACTAATGCTCGATATAGGCGATATTTGCTATTTAACGATAGTTTACATATACATAGGAGCAAAAAATTTCATTCAATTTATCTCTAAATTACACTTAACTAGTTTGACGACATGTCATGATGTCATTACTTGTGAGTCAAACCCAGGGAAGAACCCGCAAGAAACCCAGTCGCATTGCTCAAATTTTAAAGCATAAAGAATCAAGACCTAATGGAATTTTGTATACATACCATAAATGGCTTAGTGGGAAAGCACGGCGATAATACTTTTAATTAGGTAGACAAGTTTGACTCTTTTAAGTCCACATTAGAAATAATGTGTTTTGAGCTCTATGTAATATTACTCTATTAAGATGTTTGATGATCTTCATAAAAATTAAATATTTATCTGATTTACTTTCAGCTGTACAATTTTTATAACACGGAATACGTATAGATACCGTACTAAGTTTTAAAATACAATTATCAAATATAAGTGATTTTAATACAACATTGTAATAAAACACAGGATAATATTATCCTAAAGTAATGGCAATGTTTAAAAAAAAAATATATAGGCTCATAACGCAGCATATTAGGTACTTGAAAATATTGCAAAGCAAATTTAGTGGTATTTATGTTCAGAAGAAATTGCATTAAATAACGAACGATATTTTAAAGGTCCAAGGAATACGAAACGCTTCGTAACTACAATTCAGCCAATACAAACAAAGGCATCGATATAACTCTTATAAAAGGAGTTTAATGTTTTCTTGCCGCCAAAAATTTTAGAATGTTCTTAGTGGCCTAAATTTTTAACAATTCCATTAATAAATAACTAACGCCAAAAACAAGGAAACTATTATTATAAAATTGAAAAAGCAAAATTGTGTCCGCTCTTTTAATTGGCGGATAAATTTTGGCCATTTCACTGATGTTTAAGTATGGACCACAATATGAAAGTACACATTATGATCATATTATCTTAAGTTAGGAACAAGTTAGAAAGAATTTTTGCTTATGTTGTAGTTGTTATCTTTTCAAAGAAATGATCAATTCTTTGCTCAAATATGAATAAAAATGACAATCACTTATTAGTTCATGTTAATCAATATTCATTTAATTAAAGTTTATTTGAACACACACGTATCTGTACACGTATCTTGTATCGTAAATAGACCATAGTATCAACGCATACTCGAAGCTTTTTTTGTTGGACTTCAGGACGTTTGTCACAAATTATTTCCGCAAGGCAATAAATAATAATAAATGTTGCTTATTTCAAATAGGGTAAATTTAAATTTAAGATTACGTTGTTACACGGACACTGCTAAAAGACATAGTTAATAGACGTAAAGTATTTAGGGCAAAATTCTTGATTAAATTAAATTCATATTTATGATAACCATAGTCGAGTGAGTTTAATTGTCACTACACTACGAATATTATCATAGTCAGCAACTAAGCATTTATAACATTGAACTTAAGTGCATAGAATAATTTCCTGTGCTCTTCCTTTACATACATACGCACAATACATGTAGTATTACAATTAAGATAAAATTTTGAAGTATCATAAATTAATTCTTAATGTAATATGTAGAATGCTACATTTGAATTTTTTACTTTGGCTGTGACGGTGCATTCTTCATTAAAATTAACATTAGTAATTAATGGAGTTCTTCCGCGATATGGAAAATATTCACCACGTTTTCCTTATAAGAAAATAAACATAAAATTTTATTTGAATCAACGGTTATGTTTGAGACATCGCCAGACACAGATAGTCAAAACTACTTTTCTCTTATAACAATCATTATGTACTCCAATAAAGGGATTGCAATATGAGCAACGTAATTATACACATTAATTGCATAATATTTTTCGTTAATTTTAAAGTATTGGCTATTTTTTGTAGAGATTAATTTTTATTTTCAATATATATATAAATTGTAAATTAAACGTATAAGTTTATTATTGATATGAAAATTGTTTCACAATAGTTGTAGAATAGTCTTAATTGCTGTGTCAGAAAATGGAGCTACATGTACGCAGGTATTTGCAGATTATATTAAATTATTAAAACGCTTTACTCAAATCACTTTGTCTACATAAGGTTGTGTTGTTAATTTACAATCAACCTGTTTATTTTGTAAATAAGTTCCAATTACAATGAAATGTTTGCACATAATAAATTTATTACTATAATTGTAATTAACATTTAGTGCACTTTAGTATATACCACAAGATAAATATAAGGTTAATTATCTTGCGGTGTTTAAAATTATTTTTTTCCAATTTTACTGGAAGGTTCAATTAAAAACGTTATCCACGTTTGCTCCATACAGACAATAGATTGGAGATATAGAGAAAACTCTTATTTTTTTGAGTTTCTTTAACAACAAAGTAAGTCTAATGTAAAGTTTACTAAATGAAATAAAAAAGTTAAATAGTATAGAATAAGTATATATATAGTAATATAAAGTTAGTAAGGGAACAAAAATTGTTCAATAACTTTGGGTATCTTTTAAATAATTTTAAGATTCATATGGATTTATAATAAAATATATTTTTCAAAGCTCTGCTTTACTTCGTGTCTAATAGAATGAAATAGTTTCGAAGAATGGTATTTAAAACGCAATGCATGTTTTTCCATACTTTTTGAGATTTATATAATATATCCATACTTTTTTGTGGTCATATGTACTATATTATTAAAAAAATACAAATATTTGAGATACACAAAATAAGTGCTTCACTTGAATATCACTTTTTGCTTATTGTGATAAATTCATTAAAACGTGTTATGGCTGATCTTTTAAAAATAGTAAAATTCAATAATATTTATATGAGTAGTCTTAATTTTTTCTTAAAATGTACTTTGTGTCGGTTTTATCACACTGTTATTAATGCTTACCGTATCTAATATTTGCTTTGTATCTAAACATTGTTAAGATATGTAATATGCATTGTTGATTCAATGTTACCTTTAAATTTCTGAAGTCTAAAGTCTTTTCACAATATAATTCTATACCAATAGTATTTAGCACGATTATACACATCGCAAGCACGGTGGCCTTCATCTCCAAGGCTATCCTGTTATTGCTTTCCTTGATTTACATATCATTGTGGTAACTGTTAATTTACCCTACTGCCGAAAGAAGATAATAGTTTTTGAGCATATACAGGGGGATTTTTTTGAGAAGTGCCCAAATTTACACAGGAGGTCCAGGCTCGGTAGTATAATCGTTTATTGAAATAAAAAACAAGTTTTCTTTTTAAATGCCATTCTATTCCCTAAAAAAACAGAACGTGTTGACAATGCGGCAGTCATTCATAAATACCTAAATTTTACTGTTGCACGAACTTGTGTGCGTGTTAGTTATGAATGATCGCGAGTAAAATAAATGAGTTGCGTATAAATCACGCACTTTTTGAGATAAGTTCAAATTAATGTAATTAATTACTACGAGCGATTTTAAATATTTATAATTTTTTATATAACATTATTTATGTCTAGAAAGCCACCCTGTATATGTACGTATGTATAATTTTACCCAATACAATAATTTGACATGCTCTACAGATTAAACCTTTAGATGGATTTCAATATTTAAGGTGTTGTTGGTCAGTTTCATTTATGGTTTGTGTCTTGGGAATGACAAAAGGTGATATATGTGGTGTCACCAAGAACGACCTTAGATGTTTAATGCAATCGTGTTTTTTTATTTAAACATACCGAACATCCATTTCGTCCGGATTCGAAAGGAGGATGCATTATCTAACTAGTTCTACATTAAATAAATAGTTTTTAGCTGGTTATTGAAATATTTATTTTAATAAATTTTAAAATGAGAGCAAAAAACTCGCAATAAATAACAATAAAAGACTTACGTATATCCGTCCGTCCACTCAAAGTCGTCCATTAGAGTCCAAGCGAAATACCCTTGTACATTGCAACCATCTTCATTGATTGCGAGCAGCAATTGATTCATGTAGTTATTATAATACGAAACACGGGAATAATCATTTAGCCCGCCGAAATCGGACACGCCATTTTCTGTCACGATTATAGGAATTCTGGTTCCGTAGTTCTTCGTGATCCAGTTCAAAACTTTCCTGAATCCAGGTGGATAAACCTAGAATATAATGTTTGACGTGGAGAACAGGTTTTATAAATTACCTTTTATTTAAACAATAATATAAAAATACAAAAAATAAGTAGACCACTTTTAGACCAATTTTAAAAACACCTATCCTATTCTAAGAATGTTGCTCGAATGGAGGAATGTGAGATTTCGCATAATTCTAAGTTATATGATAAGGAAGTTTACAAGGATACCTACATTTCATAATAACCGTTCATACTGTCAATGTCAAACTTAAAAGTCTTTTATTTTTTGTGGAGAGTTGTCCAGAGTAAAAATCGTCGCCAAAGAAATTACGGAATCTGAGTCACATAAAATAGTAATTCGTTACATGTAACGAATTAATTCGAATTTAAACCAATAGGTGCCACTATTATTTATTCTACATTTTGTAATGAAAAGAAACAATTTTTACTTACGGATAACCAAGCAGCTCCTGGTTTTGGCCACTTAGGACTTTGTTCCATCTTTACACCTGTATCGTGGTCCCACGAAGGAATTTTCCAATCCTTTTGCATAAGCAGATCTGACATAAGGAATGTTGTATAATGGTTCAGACCGAAAAAGTCAGAACTTCCTCGTAGTAAATTGACCTGCAGGATAATTTTCTTAGTTATTATAGCAATAAACCAAATTTTAAAAGTTGGAGCTAAGCATAAACACAGAAGGTAAACCCTAAACTCTGGTATTATATTAAGTTTAATTAGAGATTGTAATAAAAAAATCCAACCAAGTCTATAAACCTATTACCAACGTGAATAGATTATCTAAAATATCTCTGACGTTTGCAGTATTCATATTGTACTATCCTTAATATTAGATAATATGTTGTCAGATGCAATAGAAGCAGTTGAATAGTGTAATAAATTATATTATATTATTAACCGCTTAATAAGATTAATAAATAGTATGACGCTGAACTTAAGCAGAAATACAGCATTTATTTAAAAAAAGAAAAACAGTTAAATAAGTAGTACCTCATGGTTTGAAAAATACGGTAAGCGAGATCTCGTGAAACCCTGAGACTGACTTATATTATTGACACGTTCTCGTACTAGTACTGGATAGTCACCTTCTAAGGAATATATTGGATGAGCGAAAATCCCCAGCTGTAATCAAAATCCAATTAAAACCGAACATTTATTAGAAATCTAAAATAAAAACAATATAAAGAAATTTTAAAGACAAATAATTTTTAAAAACCTACATGCATTTGCAGATATCTTTCCGCTGCCTCGCGATCTGACATCTTACGATTATTTTTTGGTTCCGCCCAAAAAGCATCTAATGTGATGCCAATTTTTCCTACAAAAGCAAACTTATTTTGAATAGAGCGAAATACCAAAACAAAGATTCATTAAAAAGGCGTGTAAAAGGGCTGAATATTTGTCAAAAATTTTAAAAACTAAAGGCGAGGTCCATGTTACTAATGCCGCTTGTATGCCGCAAAAGGCTTTGCTTCTTGAAACACAGAGACTTTGACGTCACACAAGAAACTGGCATTAACGTTCAAACATAAGAAGTGCATTTTTAATAAAAACCTTTCTGATGAGGTCTGAATTTTTTATCGTAGAGATGATATGCTCTTGAATGTGCAAGTAACATATAGTGAGTGCACAAGTATTCTCCAACACCGTTAGACATAATTGCTGGAACAAAATTATTACTGCCATATCCCTGAAAAAGATTGCGCATGATTAGAAAATAGGTAGCTAAAAGTAAAAATCTATTTCGAAAGTTTTAACTAGAACGTACATTATAACAATGTTGATGAGGTTCATTCATAGTAGTCCATACTTTAACTAAATCACCGAAAACCGTAAACGCGGTCTTCGCGTAATCTTCGAAGTAATCGATAATCTTAGGATTACTCCAACCACCCAAATCCATAAGTGGCGTAGGCAAATCCCAGTGAAATAGTGTTACAACTGGAGTGATATTTTCTTTCAAAAGCTCCTTAAATATGGTACGGTAGTACCGCACACCATCCTTGTTTATTACATTGTCGAATCCTTGGGGAAGTATTCTGTGAATATTATATTCATAAAACGTTTATTAAAGTCTAATGAATGTAAATCCCCGTGACTTACAACTCACTATTCGTAAATTTATTAGTTATTACAATCTTAAAGAATCGAACGTTAAATACCAATAAACATGTACATAACATCCATGAAAATAGTCCCTGATTTGAAATATCGATTCAAAAAAGACCAGATGAATATGTTAGGATCGCTGTTGAAATTATTTGTGCGTTTTAAATATAAGGGAGCTTTTGCACAGACATAATTCAATGGACATTTATTATAAATCAACTATAAATTCGTTATTTACCTTGGCCAAGAAATAGACATTCTGTAAAATTTAACGCCAAGAGATTTAACATTGTTTATGTCTAATTTATATTTGTGATAAGAATCAGCTGCAATATCTCCATTTGATCCGTCTACTGTAAAATTAGGATGCTTGTGCAAATATGTGTCCCACATACTTTCACCTTTCTCTGTAAATAATTTAAAAAAAAATGTTATCTGATAACTCTGTATTATATGTAAACAAAAATATTAGTATAGCATTTTAATAGCAAATGTAATGTTATTGTTTATTATAGAAAATTATTTAAATTTGAATTTTTCGTCGCGGTATGCGAATGGGTAACTTCGTCCGGGGAAATACCACGCCTTCGCAGAAGGCTAGTGTGAATTTACTTCACTGCTGCTACTAAGTAATAACTATTGCATTTCAACTGGAATGAGAACTATCGGGAATCCTGTTTTAAGAGTGGACAACGCATTTGTAACCCGCCAGGAATTGTCGATGTTCTTGTATGGTGGTACCCGATTGTCAACTATCACAAAAAATCCGTCAAAGTATAAGAATGGACGAAAATCATTTCGCTTCTGCGGGAATCTAACCAATGTCTTCCGGATTCGTGCTCGGACGCTTTAATAAGTAAGCTAAACGGTAGATTACTACACCGAGGAAAATCTCAACGTATTTTATATACATTGTTTTTTCGTATTTCAAGCAATGCTTCGCGCCTCAATTGTTATGTCATTTACAGCACGTAAAAAAATTAATTATTGCTTTATAACGATAATTTGAATGAGTAAAAGAACAAAAATTAAGAGCACTATAAGATATTTGAAATTTTCTTCATTTTTTTTAATTATAAATTATTAATTATAATTACAACCTAGTCTTTATTAAATTATTAAATCAACGAATACTTTAAATTATATGGTTGGGTATGGGTACAGCATATTTTAAGCAACAGCTAGTAACTCTATACCGTTGCATGTACCAAAAAACTTAAGTTTTATTATCAAGAAAACCAGAAAAGAGAATTAGATGTAAACTTACCTCCAGTATTCCATCCTCCTTCAATTTGAAACGCGGCCGTCGCTACACCGAACATAAAGTTCTCAGCAAAAGAATAGTTGCTCAACCCAGAGCTATCGACAAGCGCACTCACTCCTGGTGCCAACACCAAGCACAACAGGCTGTGTAAAGAAAAATGTACATAAAAATTTTTATTCAAATCTTCAATGCATTACAAATGTTAAGCATGTTTTTGCATTAAATATGGTGCTCGAACCTACCCATATTTTTTTTAATTTTGTGAATTCGTTACTTTATTACCATATTTTTTTGTTTACTAGCCAAAGGAGATTTCATTCAATTTTTTTAGAAAACAACTCAAAACCAGAAGAAAGTTTATTTTGGTCTTGAGCTGTTTTCCAAAATAATGCACAACACAATTAAATAAAAAAAAATATTAATTCACTCATTTATCTTCGGTTCGTAAATGATTCATTATAGATATCTTTAATTACACTTAGAAAACCGTAACCGAAAAAGAAACTACACTACGAAATATTCACAATTTTGTTTCAAAACAATTAACCTGAGGCTCGCCAAACGAGCTCTGCTCTGGGCGACTCCACTCGAGCTCCGCATTGTTCAAACTAAAGTATAGTTCACATGCAGTCATTAATACAATCTTTGACTACGGAACAACCTTCTGGGGATTTCCTTAGAGAAAGAAATGAAAATTTATTCCATTGCAAAAGAAATTAACCAACATCAGCTTCAAAGATTAACGTATGAAGGTTCAATTTCACTTGGAACTTGAACCATTTGTCTGATTGGAGATTAAAAAATGAAAAACCACTATTTTATTATTTTTTACTCTACTGACTTAATCCCCTACCTGTGGCTGACAAAAGAAAAAGGCTGGTAAAAGAAATTGTGCATAAGATGGCACAGTATTTCGGAATCTGTTGGTAATTAAAGTTACAAGGAAATACGCTAATGGTTACCACATTGACGTAAATTTCCTTGTAAATTTTATCATAAAATACTTTTTATCAAAATATATTCCCTAGTTATTAAATTCTTCATTCTGGTACTAAACATTATAAGCTCAGATTTTATAACGGTTTATTTGGTTGTGGTGAGAAATAATAGATTATTATTATTATTTATCTACACGAGCGCTAGAAACATTTAAATAAAACTATTTGCGAATTTTATTGCGTTGCGGGCTAAAAAGCTATCAAAACCATAAAATAATTTTATTTTACTGTTTTGATAACATTTGTTTACGAATTTGATAAATAAATTTACAATAACGATATTTAATTTTGATGACTACTTATTCTTACTCAAAGCATTACTCCAGGTCGTAAATAATTATAGTCCGCAACATATAATTCAAATGACCCTATAAATTACGTTAATTCTAAGGATTTATCGCGTTTATTTTTAATTTTAATTTCTGACGTTTCAAACCCGTTACAGCATTTATTATCACGGAAATAAAAGTAGTTTCATTTATAATGTGTAATCGCGTAAATGGTAGAAAATATCATATGAACCTATCGCTATAATGATAGTACGGAAATTAAAAAAAAGTTTATTATTGAATTGAAACCGACATACTAGTTATGAACAATGAGCTGTAAGAAGTGTCAAATATGTTCACAGAACATATTTCTATATTTTTTTTAATTCGAAATGTGTATTTTACGATATTTGTGACTCCTTATTATTTCTTAAGATTAAGCAAGTACTACAAACTGTAAGCTAAGTAATCAGCAGCTTCTGCACGAATGGATAGGCACGTTCGGGGAATATTATTTTTATTAAGTAAATACTGCTGCCCATATTCGCGGATATTCATGACAATCGATGGCTTGATTCGAATAGATGTGTTGACGTTTAAGTAAGCAGTCCCCAGTTACCTCACACAGTAGACGCAAAAGCTTACAAATCTAATACTTCAACTTCACGCCGGTCTTCTGTGAAGCGCCTTCCCATTCGTGCAACAGCAGAAACTGTTTCGTGGCACACAGTAAAATACTTTCGCGTGCGAAGTGTGGTAAGCGGGGCTCACTTTTTGATGTAGACAAAACATCTGCAACTTAACATTAGACTGATTATGTACATTAGTGACCGTATAGGGAGCGCTTTTTATTTTGTGCTTCAGCAGGAAAATAAAGTGTCCTCCTCGGATTGGCAAACATGTTCGCGAATTTTTCTGCAAACTCGCGCACCAAGGGTTCCATCATGGTACCATCATCATCATTATCCAAAACAATCATGTCTGAGCCGCACTTTCTTTTTATTCTGTATTTGTTGTTATAGCGGCAGCATAAACACATCTTCTGTGTAAATTTCAACTGTTGAACTATCACAGTTCATGAGATACAGCCTGGTGACAGACATACAGACAATTGAGTCTTAGTTATAGGGTCCCGTTTTACCTTTTGGGTACGGAACCCTAAATAATTAAGAAGACTTGGGGAAGACTTTTTCTCCACTATTATATAGTATAAAGTTACTAAGAAAAATTAAATATTTCGCGTCGTTATACTAAACATGCGATTAGTACGCGAGTAGTGACGCCTGCCATAATGTAAAAGAGTGGTATGATTACTAAGAGTACTATAACTTTATTACAAGCAAGTTTAATTTTAAATTTTTAATAATATAGTCTAAACAATTTCTTTGGACACTTTATTTCCTCTTTTATCAATAGATGTCACGAGATTGTCAAGGAAGAGCATTGCAATATGTAAAATACAATTCCCTCGGGCGAATGAACGTGACATTCCCTCACGAATATATCAAATGGAGGCGCTGTAGTAATGATTTATTTCCAACTCATGAAATATGAGTATGATTTATTTGTTCAGAAGTGTTGAAATCAAGGGAGAAAATGGTAAAATAAATTTTCTGATACAGTGACACCAAACCGTTGGATAAGTGCCTTAATTCTTTGAATAAATTGTCATAGCACAATACAGTTTATGAACTTGAGGTAATTGCTTTGATCACAACATATCTAAGTCTAAACTAAACATAAGGGTTTAGGAAGTAATTGATTATAGGTTACTTAAACTTATTGTTTAGCATAATATTTACACAAAATTTCAAGAACTAGATAAAGACTCTGATCGTATCCATATATTCAAGTGCACGGTTTCCTATTTATGGTATTTGCATGTTAGTATTTTAAAAAGAAGTTTTTTATATACAATTATAAATAATAATTTGAATATAATTTTGTGCATGGGGTAGCGTTAATCTGCAAACTATATTATTCCTTACACTATTTGGGATTAATATACCGTAAGATAAATTATAAAATTAAAGTGTAAATCTAAGCATTGCTTAACCCTAATACTTAAAAAAATATCTTATGCGATTGAATCTTAAATATAAAATAAAATAAGACGAAACAATCTTAACGGTTATCCATTTGAATCAAAAGTTTTTATCGCTAAACTGTTAAAAAACCATAATTCCCAGATGCAAGGTTCTTTAGTAAATAAATTATTTAGATTGCAATTTGATCGCAACATACGATGAAATTGGAAGTTATCCAAAGCTATTTATGGTGAAACTCCACAATTTGGGTAAGAAAACATCTGCATTTCAATCAAGTCAAAAGCCTACACAGAATAAATTGAAAATGCCTGTAGCTTTATGAACAGTGATTGTTTGTATCCAGATATAACTGAAAATATAAAATTTTTCGAGACTAATCAATTTAAGTTCTCGTTACATAAGCTTTATATCTATCTATATGCGCATCAAAAAATGTTGGTTTATAATTGACAAAAATTAAAAGGGGTTTCCCTTTGAAAATTTTAAATTAAAATCTATTTCATAACACCATTATCGAAAGCATTCGCAAGCGGAAAATGAATTGTGCGCCTAAAAATATGGTGAACGTTAAATATTTATGGGCGAATAAATTTTGAAGACGAACGCATTATAAATTCCGATCTTGCACTTTAGTGAACGCTAGACTTGCAGATAAGACTAAAATTCCACAGTGATTTGCATCATTTGCGAACCTAACTTATGATAATCTTACCATAAGTCAAATAATTGATTCAAAGATATTTTCCAACATTTGACTCCTTATTGACCTAGTTAAAATAGTGACTTGTGCTAAAATATCCTACAAAGAAAGACATTGAGTTCCGGAATCGATTTAAAATCCGTACAGTACTGATTCATATCCGCGTTATTACATATTTTATAAAGCAATCGAAGATTAGTTACAAGGTTAAAGCCACTGTACTTGCCATTTTTCTCGGAAATAAAACTTGTCAGGAAACCGTACGTAATATGCGGGAACTAACCCATGATTTATGATGACCTAGTGATATGAAGTGGACTTCAAGGATTCTTTTGATAAAAAATTAGGTATACTTTTTACATTTTATTTACAAAATTTTAATACTAACATAAAAATAATCTATAGCGATTATAAAAAAATCTAAATAAACCTTAAATTATCACTTATTGATCCTTTCTTACATATATATTCTCACTCTCTACAATGTGATGTTAAATCGTTATTTCTATATTTCAAAAACTTGATCAACGGAACATAACTCTTAACTTTTTTAAATTCTTATTTTGCGAAGTTTATATGTACACATTATGTTTATTCATGTGGCCAATTATGTATGAAACTGGTTGATGCCATATCTTACACACTTGTTTTTGTTTTGGTATACCGATTACTCTTTTCGATCAATTACTCACCTTTCAATTTATTTTACTTTAAAATACGCAACATTTACGTGGTTAATGAATAACATTAAAGTTTATCTAAATCATAGATAAAAAAGTCCATTACAAAGAGCTCCGCTATATTTTAATTTATGCGGGTTTATTATAAGACTACTTGATTATAGCTTTCTAAAAATATCGACTGGCATCGAATAATAACACCTTAATGTGTCGTTTCTGCAATCCGCTTCCGGACATTGCATTTGCAGCTTTTATGAAGTAAATTTCATTTAACACGCCTCATATTTACAAGTTTACAAATTACTATTTCTAAAGGATTACTTTTGAAATGATTTTGGTGTATGTAATTAAAAAAAATTGCAAAAAAAATAGCATTACATTTGATATATTATTATTTTTCGCATTAGAGGCGTTAATAAACTATTAATGGCGTACGTTTTAATAACGACGTTATAATATAACGACGAATAAAAAATCGGAATCACTTATAGAACTATTATCATCCGAAACATAAATAAATGATTCACCCTTTTACCGAATTATGATTTATGCAAATTGAGGATCTTCGAATATTGCACTTGGGTTTAATTACCAAACGTCCGTGAAAGCTCACTCTTTAGGGTTTGAAGCAACCAGCGATCCGCATGCGTGGACTGGGCTACCCTATCAGAGCGTTCAGTGCCGAGGCAGATACGGTGGTGATGCGACGTTCCACCTTCGCGTGGGGAGAAATCTCATATTTGCGATCGCGAGAAAGTCAGGAAAGGCGGTTTATCGCATTCCCGCAAAAGAGCGACATTGTAAAAATTGTAAGAGAAGTAGTCGAAAATAAAGTTGCGAGCTAGTGTTGTTTATCAAAAAAAGTGAATGTGAATAAAAAATAGTGTAAAATATGTTCATTTCATTTACATGAATTGATATGACAATCTTAATAGTTGCCGTTAGTTAAATACAATGTAAAGAGCTCCATCCTCTCAGTAACTGCTCTTTATTTTCACTATTTACCTGTATTTAAATTAAAGTCATTGCCCTAATAAAAATTAGGCGGAAATGTCCCCCAGACAGTATCCGGTCTAGATATAATTTTGGTAGTTAAATAGTGCAACAGTGTGACACATTTTAGTTCCGTAAGCGAAAACAAGTTTTATATCACTTTGAATATTGAATTACCTTTATATTTTTATCTTTTATAGCAGAATACACTGAAAACATTGAGAGATGTAATTCTTTTAAAATACAATGGAATATAGAAATAAAATTTAAATTTATTTCATAAACGTGTTAAGTACTAATCTTACATTTATGTACTATTGCTTTAAGTTTATATTAGAATTATTATCAATTTTATATTATCAAATTTTCAAATTTATAAATTAAATTTATTTAAAAATAATTTCCTTATAAAGTTATTTTGTTTAGTTTTTGTGATTGTGAGGCCTCTACTTAAGTTACGCAAATAATCCCCATAACGACCATCTCAGTATAACTTCTCTTACGTCATCCAATAGAAGACTAGCATATCAAATGGATATATATCCATTCCACAGTAGCATATTCATTTATATAAAAATTATATAAAGGTAAGTACATAGACATTATTATTTATCTTATCTGCTAATATGATACGTCATATCGTTTTTATCATTTTAGAAAACTCTAAAAAACAGTACAGTTAAAGCATGACGATAAGTAAGGATGTTAGTATCATGAAATAAGAGGATTATGTTTGTTAACAGGTTTCAATAAATTATGTATATACTACATGTATATACATAATCTACATTTTTTTAAATAAAAATTTCGGTTTTCCTATAAACTTTTATACATAGTTTTGATTAAAAAGTCCGAATTAAACTCATCTTTTTCTTAAATTTTTGTAGCTAGTGCAGGTAATATAATTCAAATGCATATTTTCAACAGTTTTTGAATTGGCTAACTAAGATTTGATTTATGCTTTACATAGTAAACTAGATGTGTGGCGAATAAATTAAAGATTATTTATTCGATACACATCCCTTTGCTGAACTGTCGATATATAAAAGAGAAGGAAGTCAAATAGAATAAACGTATTGAGGAATTATACAGACATACATTTGTATGGGTTATCTTCCCTTCTCCTTTTGCACGCTGCGAATACATTCAATTTAAGTTTATTTATCATTATCTGCGACTTTGTATGATTAGGTGGGCTGTAAATTTATAAAATATTCTCAACTTTCGATAAAATATCTCTGTTACTCCAGGCTTTATTTATAATAATAATAAGTAATACATATTTTAGGAAACATTTTTATACAACGTTCTCTAGTCCCAAACTAAGCAACGCTTGTACTATTAGTACTAGATAATTGAGGAACATACTTAAACATACTTTCATTTTGTAAACAAATACATATACACACTCAAACACAAGAAAAACACTATGTTCATCACACAATATTTTTCCAATAGTGGGGATCAAACCCACACCCTCTGGCGTAGGAGGCAGGTACACTACCCACTAGTAAGTAAAATTTTTTAACAAAAATATTTTGTGCTCGAATTATAATAGTAATCGCATGCAACGTTTCGTAAATAATAGGTAAATTTTACGGGTATTATCCGCTGAGAATTTATATACAGGCATGAAACATGAACAGGTGATAAACGGGTACATCTATGAATTTTTATTTTACTTTTTTCTTACGTGAAATGCTGCCAAGCGAGCAGGTGGATCACTTGATGTTAAGTAAATACCGCCGCCCATGGACATCTGCTACTCCCGAGGGTTGCTGATGCGTTGACAACCTTTTGAAAATTGGGCTCCGGCTACCTCACTCACCAGACGAAACGTGAAAATATTATACTTCCTTTTTACGCCGGTCCTCTGTGAGGTCGTGGTACTTACCCGAACGAGCCTGTCTATTCATGTAACAGCTAAAACTGCCGTGTGGCCCACACCTACCACAGTTAAAAACTTGGAAACCAATATCTGTTTTGGTAATTGTGGTATATATTTTAATGTGTAATAAGACGGTATGTTAATCTGTAATAATTAAAAACGGAGATATATGTATAATTAAAGTATATTCAAAAATTATAGGCATTTACTTCACTATTGAACCGAAAATAAATTTCCTTGCATTCATGCATAAATCTTTCATAAACATATAACGTAGATATAACCACTTCTTGGACAAATATATCTTACATTAAGACGGCCTGACTGTGGTGAAGTTGTGGTCATCAACATTAACCATTAATTATGAAAAGTGTAACCAGTTCATTAAAGGATTTTAGTCTATAAATATATTTTATTATACTTAAAAAGAAAATTTGGAGAATTTTTATCCTTAACTGAGATGATTAAATGAATTAAATGCGATTAACAGAATAAACTTTTTAAGTCAAGCTTTTGCCGAAATCTGAGATTTGGGTAGACTAAATTTAGTCCAATTTCACCAGAAGAAAACACATAATTGCACGTTTACCGGAAACACCATACATTAAGTGTTCACCGTATCTTCATTTATGTGGGGCATTTTAACGGTGGTTCTCAGAACAGCTTTAAATTTTTCAGTTCTAAAAGAGAGAGTTAAGTTGGCCTCTAAAAAGCTTGTTGTCCTCAAGTCCTCTTGTAAAGCGCAAGGGTGCTCTATCAGCACCTATGTAAAGCACAGATTAAACCTCATGTTGCATTATAACATACTCACCAATTCTCGGAGCGTTCGAAGCGCTGACGACCAGGTGTTCTCAGATAAGCTCAACCCTTTGGCCTTACGATGAGGTGTTGCCTTTATCTTATCTTTTCCATTTTCTATTTTGTTTAACACAGATATTGATGATTGTTCGTGTTAGTACTTGCTGCTGACTTTCACCACGTTTCATCACGGCTAACCGCCAATTATTACCAACGAGACCAACTTGATGGTTGTCAGTGTGCGTTTTGCACGTATTTTTCTACGACGCACAAATAAAATGTGGAATCAGTTCTCGCCCAATTGTGACCGATAGCCTTTAGGCACCTTCGAAAAAGAGATTTCAACCTCAAAGGTCAGCATAGAATTTGTAACTCGTCCGCTGTTACGTGTGACTATAGGTGACGGTGATTATTACATCATCATCAATGGCTGGTGCGATTTCCTCCTTTTTCAAAAGGAAAAATCTTGAGAAAAGAAATAAAGCCAATTATTTTTTTTTTGTACGTGATTGTATGTGTAGCATTATTTCAATTTAGATTTGAAACATTATGAATCAGCTGGGCTGTAAGTTATTTTAAAAAAATATTATACATTTTAAACTCGCTCGTGAGCCATATTAAAAACAATCAATAAATTATTAATTGCCAATGAAAGTATTTGTTGCTTGAAAATAATACAGGTCGTTAATGCGGGGCGATAAAATTAAACTTCATAACCTCCTTTGTTCCCTAGACAAAGCGAGTATCGCACATAAAGGGCGAACTTTATCCAAGTTTTAAAAATGTGTTTGAAAAACGAAAAAGGCATTTTCGTTTAAAAAAACTTCTAATTGTTAACAAAATACATTTTTAAATAACTAAATATAAAAAAAAACGTTGAATTTGGGTACCATTAGTAGGGAATTGATACTTTCATGATTCTCTCGTTGTAAGGACTGCCATTTATATCTCGAAGGCTGCAATTTATGGCCGCCATTTATAATTTCATCGTGCCTTTTCTCCGCGTATGTTATGCGGCCGTAACTGGCTACTTGACTCTCTAATATATCCGTAAGTAATAAGATATCATGGTAGATATCATAAATGTGAAGGATAATTCGGATTCCCGCTGCCTTAAGTACTGACCTTAGGATATTTTTATATTTGCACATTGAGACTGAAGACGATATTTTAAAATTTATAATTTAATGATATCAATAAAAATTATCTTATATAATAAAATCGTATGTTTCATAGGGACCATAATAATTGACCTTGAACGCACTAGTGAAAGTAATATGACCCATGAACGATGCTCAATGGCTCAATGGGTGAGTGATTATCAGTTAATGTGATGAATTTGGTGATGGTGGGCAGTGTAGACACAGCATGACCACATGGATGGCGCTGTTCGGGTTAGTGTGGCTACTGCGAGTACGCGGATCATTGTGCGGATGCTCGGCGTGCAAACGAGCTCGCAATGAGTTGCAGGAGACGAGAGAACTGCAAGAGCCGCAGTGCAGCAGCGATCCCGCCACCATCACTTCAGAGCGTCCGCCCTTCGATGTCATCGCACTCCAAAACTACACGCGGGACGCATCCGTGCAGACAGACTTTGACGATGATGATGCCGAGGACCTGGACAAGATCGAACTGCAGATCTGCGAAGGATGTGAGTAAACAAATTTATTGTTTCAACGATAAAGCGATTAGAACAAAATATAGTGAAAATATTTGTTGAATGTTGAAAAATGTGCTCAAGTTATTCTATTTTTTTTTTTGGCGTTTAACGTTTCTATTATTATAATTTATTACTTAGGCGAGAATTTAGATAATTTTTTCATCTAAGATTAAGTTACAAGCTCTCGTCAAGATTAAACAGGGCCCATATTATTATAATGCAATGTCACCGCTTCAACATTTTTGTTGAAAGTACTCATAGTCTTTTAGGATTAAAATTGTACTAAAACTGTAATTACAACACAAATCAGTTTAATTCAAAAATTGGTTTACCAATTTAAAAAAAGTGATCAATTATCGTAAATTCTTTCTTTTAATAATTATGTTACCTCCACTATTAAAGCTTTAAATGGCTTTCGCATGGATCAGGTTTTTGAAACGATCGTGGTGAATATTGTCCCATGAGTCAGTGCTATTATTAGTGCCGGTACTGTAATGGACCTAAAACTTCTAATGCACGGCTTTTTTTAAATTATCCCACGTGTGCTAAATGGGATTAAGGTTCGGGCTGCGTGCTGGCCAATTGAAAGGGAATATTTTAATTGTTTAACTTATGCAGCGCCGTGCGGTTGAGCATGAGAATATTTTTTTTTTCCTATGAATCCGATGTTTGGCATCACATGACTCCAAAATCTTTTATGTAGCCGTGTGAAGTAAAATTTTTTATTAGACCATCCGACTCCAAAAGAAATGAACTCAGTGCAACTTTAAGCATGTCGTTCTCCACGTCAACGAAACTCTCCTGTAGGTCCATAACCTGCATTGATCGGTGAATTGAGCACCATTGCTTTTCAGTCAAATTTTATTGTTCACGTGCAAATCGTAAACGACTAATCTGTAAGCTGCAGATAACTTTGGCTTGTCTAAAAGAGGTGATTTCCGTTCCCTTCAGCCCTTTTCTTACCGTCCGTGCGCTGATAGTTACACCACGCACTTTATTTAGCTTGACGTTAAAAACGATTTCGCATTGAACTTATCAATACGAGGTATAGTTACATGAGTTCTGCCGGTAGCACAGCTTCCTTTGTAAGAAGCTGCCTCAATAGTCCACATACAATTCAGTGTAAATTTAAATTTCTAGCAATCATTCTGTGATAGTTCTTTGAATAATTAAAAAAAAAGTAAAGTAACAGCATATACATGTCCCACTGCTGGGTAAAGGCCTCCTCTATACAGAGGGTATCAGGGCATAGTCCACCACGCGGCCCCACTGCGGATTGGCGGACTTCACATATCTTCGAAACACATTTTTTTTGTTATTATTTCGAAAATATGCAAGTTTCCTCACGATGTTTTCCTTCACCGCGGAGCACGTGATAAGTCAGCACTTAAAGTTAAAAACTTCATTGGTGCCGGCACCGGGGATCGAACTCAGGTTGCTCGAGTATATTGAATTAAAGGCGAGCGCCCGGACACTGAGCTATCACGACTCTTGAATAATTACGAATTCTTAATTAAGTTCAGAATTCAGTATTATTCAGTAAAATCATAAGCATGGTTGCCTTTGGTTTCATAAACAAAAAAGAGAATGTCAAATCCCGCTACTATCATTAAAAGCAAATTTTTTATGATAAAATTATTTATTAAAAAAAAAAATAATCTGAGCACCTTCCGAAACATATAACAAATGTTTCGAAAGCAAGGATTGTTTTTGTTTTTTGAGAAGTATAAATCCTGGGTGATGGATGCCCTTATGTATATTTATATAAAGATGTCGAGAAAAATATCTAATTAGAGCAGTATTTTCATACTTGTACTCCTCTTGCTCGAAGCCAAAAGCAATAACATATTTAGAGAAATATCAGGCTATTGCTTGAACAGTTCGACTTTTTTCATTAGATACTTGGATATATATTTCATGTTTCGCAAATAAATTGTCTTTCGAACGTATTTGCAGGCTTAGTATTACAAAAAAATGATTACCTTCATTGATTTTAAATTAAAAAAAATGCGCTTTTAATCTATATTAACTTTTAGGAAAACTGTATAGTAATAATCAAGGCAAGTAAAATATACCCACCTATGTATGTCCCACTGCTGGGCAAAGGCCTCCTCTGTAGAGAGTGTATTAAGGCATAGTCTATCTACTACTTCAGTTTCACATAATTATCTTCGAAAAAACATTTTTTATTATCATTTTGAAAATACCCAGGTTCGTTCAGGATATTTTCCACAATAATTTCTTTGGTGCTGAACGCGGGATTTGAACTAAGGCTGCTCCAGTATTTTGAATTAAAGGCAAGCGCTCGGACACTGAACTTCCACGGCTCTCATTTGTATAGTAATGCTGTTGAATATCACACAATATCCTATAAAAATAATAAAGCAACAAAAATTTTGAAGTTCTACAATTGTAGACTAGATAACTTATTTACATTCTGGGAGTAACGGCGGGTATCTTTCATGTCAACACATTAAACCGGCTTTATAAAAACGACATATATATTGCTTTAGGACTTCGTACATTATAAAATAAACAAAACTTTACTTCATTCCCGCTACGAATGCTGCCAAGTTATTGGTTACTTTCCGTTGAAACAAAATGTCTCTGTTTTATATTTGTTATCAGCTGCTGTTTTATTCGCAGCGAACGTTGGCAACTATGAAAGTGGACGGGAACAAGCGACGCAAAATCCAGAAGTCGAACACTGTACTACAGAAAGCTTACAGGTTTACATTTTGATCTTAATATCCTTTATGCCCTACAACCTTTTGATGATATTGAACTTGATGTTACTGTTTGTCTTCTTTGATGATTTGTAGCGTCATTTAATTGTAAAACACTCACCATTAATAAAAACGAATGTTCATATAGCTTTTAAGGTTGCATTAAATTAGGTTCCGTTTTAATGATCGCCTCATTTCCTTTTTAATTTTATTCAGGGTACATTCAATTATTTTACAATGTCTAAAGCTGTCATTTCAGGGAGATGATCATCATGTCATAATCACTTATTCATTTTGTGTTGTTTTCCAGTCTTGTTCCGACTCAGATGGTGATTCGGTATGGGAGACTGCTGATGTGACATTGGAACGAGGTACAAATGGTCTCGGTCTTAGTATAGCGGGTGGCGAAACCGGCGGTGATATTAGTATAACAAGATTGGCAACAGGCGGTGCAGCAAGAAATGACGGGAGACTGCAAATTGGTGATATTTTGCTAAAGGTATCTAAATTGATGACACCATGAGGCAATTGCCAAAGTATTAGCTTCAGTGCCGAGGTTCGTGGGGTCGACACCAACATGAAATAACAATTTGTGTGATGCACAGATAATAGTTTCGGATTTAGGTGGTTGTCTACATGAGATTTATGTATGTAAAACGTCCTTGTAAAACAGAATAAGGTTATACACACTACAGTATATGGGAAATGCTTTTCAAGGGAAGACTAGATCGCAGTGGTCGTCGGGACTTGCTACCCAAACCTCACAAAATATAAAAGGTATCTAAAACATACACATGCAGATTACTCCGTACTTTATTCCTGTTAGTACTAAGAAAGGGTGAAAGAATTCCTTGATTCCATCTACTAATCGGTTAATGATAGATGAGGAAACTATACGTTTCAACTTGCCCTTACGTACTGTGGAGAGAGAAGGTGTGTCATAACTGAAATACTTATAATTTATATCTAAAAGGGATAGAGGATACAATAGGATAATTGTAATTTTACTGATTAGTAAATTTCCCGTTCCGTTCCATTCTGGAGTATTGAGATATAATTGTGCATTTATTCATCATCTAAGTTTCATTAATAACCAACATGAGAGTAAAGTTTAGTTGTTATTTGACAATTTACATATTCCACCATGACTAACTTCAACCTTTTCAAACCACTTCAAACTATTCTATTTAACTAAATAACTAAAAGTTATAAAGTTCTCGTTATTTAATGCAATATAACGTGGAATTAAAACTTGCTACTGTGTCTAATAAATAACTTCCAGAGTTATTTTATAACGGTATTTATCAATGTAGGGTAATGGTTTGGTGTTTCCCCTATTAGATGGTGTAACTGGGGATGTGAAAAAAAATGTGGATGGATGGTGCTGTGTTAGGTTCAAGCTTCGTGACAGTCACTAGGGCTATGTTCAGCAGTGGACTATAACAGGCCAAAATGATAATGATGATTTATTAATAGAATCCTTTAATTGCCATGAATTATATAAAACTATTTTTATTTATACTGAACTATTAAAGCACGAGAACCTTTTAAATTTTTTTGGATGGGATATTTAAAGAGAATGGTACATTAAACACAAGAACATAGAATAAAAACTAAAATATTTTAATGTTTGTTCACAGCATTATTTTATATAAACAGGGAGTAAGAACTTAAATAAGAACTTAATTGAGTTGAAAGAAGAGTAATAATATTTATAAATAAATAAAAATTGAATCCTAGACACATTTTTCGTTGATTTTTATCATCTTTGTTGAATTATATCTGTAGTTTCTATTAAATGTTATAAATACATATATTGTAAATAAATGATCTTAATACAGATACATACATAGAAGATCTATCTGCAAAAATGTATGTAATTTGATAAGATGACATAAGAGAAAGTGATCGAGCGACACGGCGAACCTTGCAAAAGAGACATTCTGCATGACGTTGCACATGGCGAATCTTACTTTAAGTTCATTAAAATGTGGGAGTAGCCTCTTAGCAATTTTCCAAATATTAACATTATATGTTTACCTTTATTGTCCACCACAAGTGAAAGGATACACAAAATAAATAAAAGAAAAGCAAATACAGGGTGGCTTTTCTAAGTGTATCCATTTTTTTATTAAATTCTAGACATAGATAATGTTATATAAAAAATGATAAATATTTAAAATCACTGGTAAGTAAGTGGTTACATTCATTTGAACTTATCTCAAAAAGTGCGTGATTTATACGCAACTCATTTATTTTACGCGCGATCATTCATAACTAAAACGCACACAAGTTCGTGCACAGTAAAATTTAGGTATTTATGAATGACTACCGTATTGTCAACACGTTCTGTATTTTAGGGAATAGAATGGCATTTTTTGAAAAAACGTTGTTTTTTATTTCAATAAACGATTATAATATCGAGTCTGAACCTCCTGTGTAAATTTGTGCACTTCTCAAAAAATCTCCCTGTATATTCAACAGGGTTCCATCTTTCTGTTATTAACTTTTTGTGTAAGCATTGCTTGTAAGTATAAACAAGAAAAGAAACATAACTGATGTTTAAATTATGTTTATGACACAGTTCGTTCAGTTTTCTTTATTAGAGGGAATTAGGGAAAATATAGGGAGTGGAAACTTATTTGTTTAAAAACCTGCCTAAAAAGTTTTCTTTATTTATTACCGTGCTAATAAGTTTCTGTAACTTTTACGATGGTATTTTAGGTAAATGACGTCTCTTTGGAAGGAGCGCCGCACTCAGTGGCAGTAGATGCTTTGCAAAATGCAGGAAATATTGTAAAATTGGTAAGATTTTTTTTTTAAGCTATTACATAACTTTTATCGCGGGCTTTAAGCGCGGCGACCGAATCAAGAAATTCTGTAACGAAAATAAAACCTAACACCACCCACTCCGCCTACCATTTAGAGAAAAGATTTGATCGTTTGTATGCATTGAATAGGCTTCGTAACTACTGAACCGATTTCAAAATTTCTTTCAGTGTTGAGAAGCTACATTATTCTCGGATGATATAGGCTTTATTATATTTTCAAGAAACTAGGGATCTTTACTAAAACTTCAATAATGTAACCCAAAGTGTACAAAAATTACCTAAAATATTCTTTACATCGCGTGCGTTCCGAAAACTATTGATGATAGAATAAAATAATGTACTACGAATTTGCAGAAAACATTATTATTTACAAAAAGTGTCGCGACAGTATATGTCTAACTATTTTAGTAATGCCACAATAAGTGTTCTTTTATTTTAAAATTTTGATAGAAATGCCACCGCTAGAAAAGGCTCTTTGTTTGTGTCTTGGTCCTTATAAACATAAATTACTTCATATTTAACACTGTTTCAATATCTTTATATAACTTTTTGAATTACTAAATTGAATGACATTCCATTCGAAAGATATCACAAGTTTAAAAATGTTAGTATATTGTAATTTAACTATACAAACAGCTTAGTGACTGACTTAGTAGTTCTTATCATTTTTGTCAATAATATAATTAAATTATATATAATTAATTATAATGTATATTAATAATTGTATTATTAAAAATATTATTATATTTAATATTATTATATACTGCAGAAATAAAAAATAAATTAATAATTATAATAGCAAAAGCTGATAAAAGATGTTATGCAATAGCTTTACCGCGGCAGTCAATGTAAAAGCATTCACAAGAGTTGGCTAAAACTGAGACGTTTTTGATGTATTAGTATAAGGTATAATAAAAACAACACGAATAAGGAAAATTACGTCCAATTCACAGGTAGGTACTTATTTTTGTACTAATTGGTCACTTTATATAATATATAATTATATGGCAAGAGAATTAAGAGGGTCTTGTAATTAATAAAAGTTAGATAGTCTTGTAATTAATGCTTGTGTTTTTTACAATTAGATGGTTCGACATGTATTAATCAGAGTTAGCAAATTGATATGACTGCTAATTTTAATACTATCACAAGATATGGGAATATAGAGCTGTGTACTTTTATGTAATTTTATTTTTAGAGAATTCGAAGGGCAAGACGTCCGAGAGTTGTCACATTATGGAGAGGAGTGCGAGGGCTGGGTCTTGGGATTGCTGGGGGATCGGATGACGCAGCAGGAGGCGGAGGCATCTTTATCTCTCATATAGCTGTAGGAGGGGCAGCACACCACGACGGCAGACTTCGACTTGGGGATAAAATATTGGCTGTTAGGGATGAAGATGTAAGTGATTATGTAAAATTTTAAATATACTTTGAAACACCATTTGATTTAAATGGAAAATTGATAATTTTATGCAGCATTTTGTGCAAGCTCCAATTAATAACAGACTATGTATTTTGAACATGTATTTTTTCTTTTGAAAAATGCAACCGTCCCACTCTTAATAGGTTTTCACTTTCAGGGTATTGAAACATCGTTAATTGGTGCAACGCATGCAAAGGCTGTCACAGCCTTACGCAATACTGGAGAACATGTAACACTGGTAGTTTTGCCAGCTGCCTCCATTCCACCTGCATCTCAAACGGCCCAGCTTTATACGAGTAAGCAGAAATGTGCATGTATAACGCGTTAAAGTGTTACTTAAAAATATGCAATAAATGCAAAGTAGGAAATTATTAATCTATGCAATAAAAGAAAAAAAATACACCAGCCTAGGTTAGTCTTTAAAAGTATTTCATATGCTAGTAAATACGTAGTAAACTACACTCAAATTATTGAGATTCTACTACATACCATGAACGAGATGTTGAAAGCATATTGAATAAATATCAATCTGACATGCTGTAAACATAACTGTAGGTTGCGATGATGTGGTCTGAGATTTTCTATATTTACTAAGTGTACTTAAACAACACCAATAAAATAAAAAATATATTGACATGTAATGACCATTATTTTATTATATTATATTTTTATACTGAGTTTTTTTTTAGCAAGAACACAAGCTACTTCGTGTTCGACTCTTCATGAACTCACTGAAGAAGAGCCAAGTAATATTCCCAGGTACGTCGTCATTTAATGAGAATAGATTACTTTTCATTAAGTCGGCTGCGGATAAACTCCAACAATAATACCTGCTTTATCACCATATTGTCAACACCCCATGTATTGATTAGCTTTCATTGTTTGATTAAACGCCGACATAGCAAACTGTCGTATCGCCTTTGTATGAAAATATTCAATAAAATGTACTTTTATCATCAAATGGATATTTTTGAAAATAATGTATGGCTATTGAATCAATTGACAAATTTTAACGGTTACTAATTTAATCTTAAAAAGGCATTATAAATGCGAATGTATATTTGTTTGTCCACTTTCACGACTTGACTACTCAACAGATCATCATAAAACATCAAACACGCCCTTTGATATAGATGATACCTTTCATTAAAAGAAAGTACCGTTCCCGAAGGGTAGAAAAAAAATTACATTGTCGTCCAACATGATAGCTCGGGCTACCGATATGAATAAATTGTAACATGATGCTTAGCGTACGTAAAAAGGGACCATACAGAAAGAAAACCACGGATCTAACCTAGTATGATTACCTTCAGCTAATTAATCTCTCTTTTTACATCCCGTTTAGGTAATTGACAGTAATGAAACCAAATAAAAACAAGATTTTTACTTAACTCAGTGTGTTTAGACTTCTAAAAATTACAAAACTAGAACAGCAACAAAACCATGTATATGACAATAATTAGCCGTGATAACTCACTGTCGGGGCGATCGCTTTTAATTCAATATACTCGAGCAACCTGAGTTCTATCGCCGGTGCCAGCAACATTGAAAGTGCTAGTTTTTCAGTAGTGGTATACTTGCGTCTTGATTTAATTTTATTAATAAAAAGGCCTCATCTTACTCATAGAATCCAATATTCATTGTCTATCAAATCCGTTGGAATGATTTGCATAATATAAAGTTTGCAAACTTGATCGATTTTTATATCCATTCCATATTTCTTTACCCAAGTTTTTGTCATTCTCTTTTTCCCTTTTTGTCCTACTTGAAAAAGCCCATCCTATAAATCCATAAAGAATCGTTTCATTTAATTCAGCGTATACTGTTAGCGCAAATGTACTTTATGAGTTTCATTTAACATTTTAGCCGTATTAATTAAATGAAAATGATGCGATGGGGTGATGAGCGCCGCAAGGCTCGTAGGTCCGGATCCACATTGCTGAATTAACTAGCATGAGACAGAGAAAAAAAGTCGCTGAGAGGGGAATGGGAATCGCATTCCCTTATTTTCGAACGATTACTACCGATTCACATCTACCACGAGTCGCGTTAAGTAACTTCATTCCAAATGTTTATGTATTATACACATAAACTGTACAGTCTAAGATACGGTAAATAGTCACATTAAAGATTGAGGTTAAACTTTCTGTCAAAACTACATGTTCATAGTTTTTTTTTCGTATGGTCCTTATTTTTTCACATTTATTTTCTAGATGCGTGCGCATGGTTCGACTGGTACGGTCTGGTTCACGTTTAGGAATGGACATTGTCGGAGGTCTAGGGGGTGGTGACTCAGACACTTGCGCTGGAATTGAAGAGGAAGCCTGTGGGGTTTATGTATCCGGAGTTACAGTCGGCGGGTCAGCCTACGGAATGCTGTACAGGGGAGATCGCATATTGAGTGTCGACGGGCGCGACCTTACACGTGCAACTCACGAACAAGCTGCAGCCGCACTCAAGGTGCTTAAAATCACATTGCTTAGTCAAAAGTTACTCTAAATGAATCATAACAAAAAACACACATTGCTTCTACTATTTATATGGGCTATAGTATAGTTAACGTTCTATAAAAGTTTATGTAAATAGTATATAATAGTCTGAAAGTATGTCTCGTTGTGGCTTAAAGAAATTATAAAGTTTTAATATTTTCGAAATTATACTCTTTTTCTTACAAATCAAAAGGTACATCTTAGCTAAAGATGTACACTGTAATGATTTTTACAAAATCAAAATCAAATACTTTTATTGAATATAGAAGCATTACACTTACTTATTTATGGTCAAAAAGCTACCACTGGTTCGGAAAGAAAAGCCACTGACCTGAGAAGAACCGGCGAAAGAAACTCAGCGGGACTCTTTTTTTTTTTATACCATAAATATCAAATAAAGACATGTTTACAAATGTATTAAAGTCAACTCGAAAGAGCCTGGAGCGATCACTTCATTTCTAGGGTGTGTTATCATTTAAATAATCACTAACTGTGGAAATACCTAAAATATACTAGACGAGACGTATCTACATAAGTCAGCTGTCTTATTTTTTTAACCGCGAAGACTGCTGAGCAAAGTCTACTTGACAGCTTATTAATATGGGAGCCACACTGCAGTTTGGCATCAATAGTTATACCAAGGAATACAGTCGAGTCAACAGGGTCAAGTGCTCCCCCATGTAATAAGTACATCAGTTTTTCCGTTTCATATTTGGGGTTGAAAATTTTATACATTGGTTTTTTTATTGTTCAATAGTAAATTGTTGGCACTAAACCAATGCACTATAATGGATACAAACAATACTATATCATGATTATGATCAACGAGATAAGGCAGATCATTTATATAGATGAGGAAGAGAAAAGTCCCAAAAATACATCCCTGTGGGACGTTATACTTACCGGGAGATCTCTTGCCGTTCACATCAACTCTCTAAATTCGATGGCTCAAATACGATGTCAGAAGTTTGAGTGTGGCATCTCTTATATCATAGAGATGTAGTTTCCTGACCAGAGTCTCATGCTATGCACGATCAAAAGCTTTGGTTAAGTCACAGAATATGCCTTTTTTTTTTGGGCTGGATGAGCCACTGTTGGCCTTAGGGGCCTTTACAGTTTCGCCGGACTTGAGGTGGCCGGGCGCTCGGGGCGCCTAGCCTGAACCTCAGCGTATTATTATTACGCGTTATGGTGACTAAGCTCGAGGGCTCCCGAGGGAGCCTCGGCTCGGGCCGTCACGCTATTATTATTACCGGTTTGGGAGGCCGCCAAGCTCTTAAGGCGCTTTGGCGGACGCTCCATGGAGTGACCAGGCTCAAGGGTCCCCGAGAGGGAACCTCAGCTTGGGCTGAAGAAACTCCAGCAACGCTTCTATCATTAACGGGGGAAAACCTGCCAGGTACGTGGCGGAACCTAGTATATGTTTGCCGCACTCGCCGGCGAGTGCGGTGTGATCTGATGTGTTTGCGTAATTGTTTTATTTTGTCGATGGCGATAGTCGTCTCATCGTCAGAGTAATCGAGTACGTGTCGTGGTCTGCGCCATTGGCGACGGAACGAACCTAGCGGTAGGGGTTTGTAGGTGACGGCACCTACAACTAACGAATTGGGATGCGCGGCGGCGGATTCGAAGTAGCGGCGCGACGCCGACTTCAGGAATTGAGCGATGGTTGGCAGCTCTAAATCTACATGTAAGTCGATGTTCCGCATGAACCACGGGGCTCCCGTAGCTCTGCGCAAAAATGACGATTGCGATTCTGGATGACCTGAAGCCGATGTATTTGCCTCGGGCCAATGTGCGCAAAGACCGGACTCGCGTATGTCATGATGGGGCGAACTACTGCCTTATATAAAGTCACCTTATTCCGAAGGGAAATTTTAGAAGTTTTATTTAAAAGGGGATACATGCGACCTAGTACGAAGGCCGCCCGGTTCCTGACCCGAGTCACGTGCTGTCTGAATTTGAGTTTAGAGTCAAGGACGACACCTAAGTATTTGACATTATTTACCCATAGAACCGGGCTATCCATGAGTTTAACGGGTGGAGGGTTAGGCGCATTTTTGTGAGAGAAGTACACTGCTGCGCTTTTAGCGGGATTGATTTCGATCCTCCAAAGCTGGAACCAGTCACCGATGGTGGTGGCCGCGGCCTGAAGGCGTCGATGGATCATTTTTGGTGTTCGGCCTGACGTATATAGACAGGTGTCGTCAGCAAAGAGGGCAAGTGCTACACCTTTGACACGCGGCATGTCGTTAGTGTAGAGCGTTAACAGGACTGGGCCCAACACCGACCCTTGGGGCACCCCGGCTCGAACGGGATGCGTTGTAGAGCACACCCCCTCGACGCGATAGCGGAAGGTCCGATCACATAGGAAGTCTCGTATTATGCATACGAGACGATCTGGCATTCCGTACTCGTATAACTTGTATATGAGCCTGTTGTGTCAGACTTTATCGAAAGCCTTCGCTACGTCCAGGAAGAGAGCTCCGGTGTTGAGTCCGTGTTGGCGTTTAGCTAATACATGCTCCGTGATACGGTGCACTTGATGCGTACATGATTGGTTGGTTCTGAAGCCAAACTGTTCGGGAATGGGGAGCCCTCTAGAGTCCATGAAGGATCGTAGGCGGGCTAATATTAACCGTTCGAAGATCTTCCCAAACGTTTTGAGAAGACTTATTGGGCGATATGAGGTTGGGAGTGTGACGGGTTTCGAGGGTTTGAGGAACCCTATTACTTCTGCTTCCTTCCATTCGGACGGGAAGAAGCCTTCTGTCATTGCTGTGTTGTAGATTATTACTAGTATCTGAAGGATGCTAGTAGGAAGGAGTTTGGTCATCTTATTGGTGATTCCGTCCGCGCCAGGCGCTTTGCGTGGGCGTAGGTTTTTAATTAATTGTTCTACTTCGGAGCACGTGACCGACGGGATCGCAGAGTGGCTCTAAAGCTTTCCTTTCAACCTCTTCGTTCACCTTCCGGAGGTGTTCGGGGTTGACCGGAAGCAGACTAGCTTAGCATTGAGACTCGAGGCTGTCAGCCAGACATTCGGCCTTTTCTTCGTCCAGCATTGCTGGCGTACCTATGGGGCGAATAAGAGGTGGCATCGTTGTTATGTTTTTACCCTTGAGGGATTTGGGAAGCTTCCAAAAGGCTTGGTGTGATGGTTTAATTGAAGTTAAGGTGGAGTCCCGCCGTTCGTTTCGGGAGGCTGCTATGCGTGTTTTCACCTCACGCTGTAATTTACGTAGCAGCCTGCGATTCGAGTCGGTGGGATATCTATCGTAGGCACGTGTGGCTGCATTCTTGCGTCTCATCAGGTCACGCATATCGTCTGGCAGGGCTCAGCGATGATCATCCATCGCTGGAACCTGTCTCGAGCATTGCTCAACGACGGTGTGGACGTGGCTTGTGAGAGCCCGAATTGCGGTCTCCGTGTCCTGCTTGTTGTTAATCTTTGCCGGGATTGACTCTAGTAGGGATGGATTAGTTTCTTTAAGTTTTGTCCTAACGTTGTGCCAGTTGATAATTGTTTTAGTTTCGGGAGTGGCTAAAGCAGAGGGCCCTAGCCGAAGTATGACGGGTCGATGATCAGAGTGAAGCTCGTGGATCACTTAAATTTCGCGTATGATGAGGTTGATATTTCTGACTATCGCAATATCAAGCACATCCGATGTGTGTGTGACCTTCAGTATATGGGTAGTGCGTGTGTACGGCAGGTGCTACGATGTCGAAATCGAGCATGTCTGATAGCGAGTCGAGTGCTACGCCCCGACTGTTGGTGCGTGTGGAATTCCATCGGTGTGAGTGTGTCACCTGCATCTGTTGTTGAGCGACCCCTAGTAAAATCATACAAATGTCAGTACTACATTTTGTTTGTGTTTTAAGCAGTATTCTGGGAGTGCAGTAACCATCGCGGCGCAGTACCAACCCGAACATTATGAAAGGCTACGAGCACGTATTAGAGCGATTAACGCAGCGGCCATGTCACCACATAGATCACACGCCACTCATGTTCCCGTGCACCCTGATTTACATGCGATGTATCCCAGGTATTTTCCCTAAAAGTTGTAGACCACTAAAATTATCTCAATACTTATTTATAAGAATTTAATCTCCATTTATTTGAATTTTATTAAATCTCATGCATAAACATGAAAATTAAATTTCAGTGATATACTTCACCTATTTTAAAACAATCCGGAAGACAAGAAGAGTGGGTTCGATTCCCGCAGCAAGAGCTTTTACTCTATTCTTTTCTACTAATTTTTGATTTTGACCATCGTAGATTTTTTATTTTGAATTTTGTCATGTACATTGTTATTTAATGTAACTAACTTAGTTTTCTATTTATACCTTTTTAACTAAATTTTCAGTATTTTATGAGGATCCTTTTACATTTTGGACTGTTTATTTACAGGTAGCAGTCAATGCACAAAAAACCCCAGCGTTCCTGATTTGGAAAACTAGTTAGGAAAATAAATTCTCCCAATAGTTTTTATAAAAGACAATAGATTAATGCATTTATGTATTTTTATTTAAAAGTTTTATGAGTGTATGTGTAATCAAAATTTTCATTAACTGATTATTAATACATGCACGTTGTTTCCTTGTCATCCATAATCATTTTATATTTAATGATTATCATTTTAATATTTGATAAAATATGTATTAAGTATAAATCTAAAATATCACTTTAGAATAGAACAATTAATGATGAAACTGTGATATTAAAGTAAAAGTTAGCATAAGAATCAATTTAAAACATTACACTGGAACTGAATAAATGTTATAAAAATGTGTTTCATAATTATTTCGCAGATAAAGCAATTTTATGTTATAATTGTATTTTATTCCTATTTTAGTAAAGTTATTGCACAAAAGATCACATTGCTTTCATTAAATCAATCAAACAGTTTTTAATTAAACTTGTATGTTGTTATTTTAAATCACAATCAAGTGCAAAATCTAAATACAATTTTAAATTTTTAGTACTATGCGTCATCATCGTTTTTTATTTTATCAGGATGACGATCCTGATAAAAAAAACGATCAAAGCTGAAAGATTTATCTTAATTACAAAGACTAGCACCAACAATTTGAAATTAAATTTAAATAATAAATAAATAAATATTTAAGACACATTTTTACACAACGTTCTCTAGTCCCAAACTAAGCAAAGCTTGTGCTATGGGTACTAGATAACTGATAATCATACTTAAACATACTTTTCTTTTGTAAATAAATACATATTATAGATATATAAACACCCAGATACTAGAAAAACACTATGTTCATCACACAATATTTTTCCAGTAGTGGGGATCGAAGCCACACCCTCTGGTGCAGAAGGCAGGTACACTACACACTACGCCATTCGGATCGTCTATAATAGCACGGTGACATCATTGTTTTGAAATAGTTATTGTAAAAATGTAATTTGCTTGCTGTTAAGGAAACGCATTAGATACAGCCTACCATTTCCAAAAATTAAATAAAAACAAAGTAACAAAATAAATTCCAACAAGATCTAATTTGACTTACCTTTAACGAGTTCAGTACCTGGGTTAAGTACTGAACTTGTTAGTAAATAGCCAGGCGTTTATAGCCAAGTGCATAGATTAGAACTATAAAAATTTATATTTCTAATAGCAACGGCGACATCTCGTTTGAGTTATCGTTGTAAAACGATATCCGAAATTGTTTGTTTTCTGTAAAGGATACAACAATGGATGCGCCAAGTTGAGATTTCCTTTGGTGTAATCTGCCGTTTAGTTGAGAGGTTAAAGCGTTTGAACACGAATCCCGAAGACGTGGGTTCCATTACCACAACTGCGAGTAATTTTCGTACTTTTTTCTACAAATTTTAATCTTTATGCCTCGAAGTTTTTAATTTCAATTTTGTAGTGTTAAAAGGCTGTCGTGGCATTAAATTCCTTAAAAGTCCATGTTTTTTTAACTCATGAATTATCAAATTACTTCAGCACTTCAACGTTAAGTATCTATTATAGTGAATTATCAATTTCTTGGTTAAATTTGTTAGCACTATATAGATACACCTAATCTTTTATGGAAAAATTGTACCTTAATATATTTCTATAATATATATTTTATGCTTTTTTATTTTTTATTACCGAATGAAACAAACATTTGCCTTTATCAGAGGAACAACGCTTCGTGGAAAGTTCAGAAAGAAATGAATCCCATGCAAAATTTTCCTTAATAACCCTTATCATTTGAGATGATGCCAACTAGACAGTGTGACAGGAGCTATATTACAAAGTTGGGTCATGTTGTCTTCCTACGTATGTTCATTGAAATGATCTGCCCAAAACTTCCAATGTTTGCGGCTTCTGTTTTCTCAGGTTTCATTACGAACTTTTAGTTCAATATTAAAAGAAAATGTGATTCTGTGAATTATGTGATTCCTATTACTCGAATTCATTATTTGTTTTTTTATAATTCGCTTCGTCATTTATCATCCGTACAGCTAAGGAATGGAACAATCTGCCGGCGTCCGTCTTTCCGTCTGATTATATGCAAGGTAAGCATTAAACAACATTGAAAAGTTGTAAGTGCTTAATTTTGCTTACAAAATGCTTAATGTACATACTTGCTTTTCATCGAAACGTAGAGAGAATGTTAACAAGGGGTTGATTATTTTGTTTTGGAAGATGTGTTAAGATATATTACATACATGTTTGGAGATTTTCTTGTGATGATTAACTATGTGTGGAGAGTATTAACTGACCGAGTGATTACCGATATTGGAAAAAATTACAAGCAAAATAAATTATTCAGATTTTCCTACTTATTAGCTGATACTTAATTTTTGGTTGAGGCTTACAATTAGCAAAAGTTGCAGTTTTTAATTAAATATATGAAATATTTCAATAAAGTAAAATAGATTTATAAGAATGCGCCTGAAAGAATTAATTGAGCTATTTCTTAAATAATGGAATAACTTATTTCTTGACCTATTTATTATATTATGGTAATGTCTATTTACGAATATATGTTTATGCGTAGTACTGTATGTACACATTACCATAATATAAAGAAGGAGCTTTAGGAAGGAAATCCTTACTTTTGTTCCTGAATATACAAGAATCCGCAGCTTATAACAAAGCAAAATGTATAAAAGTTTAATCTTTAAAGTATTAAATAATTTTTAGATCCCAGTTAGTGTGCGTTCAATCCCTCCCTATATAAAAGTGAACCACATCCTTTTACGTCTTATTAATCTTTTGATGATGCATTAAATACAAAAAAATAAACTTAACTATTAAAAAACTTATGGTCACATAGAACGCCTTATAAATTACCATAGCAAACTCTCAAAAAAAAACCTTACATCCGTTGTTTAATGTTTAAGCAACGGATGTAAGGTTGTTGTTGTTGTTGAAACAACAAAAATTAGACTGTTATAATTATTAAATATGTATGCTGCTGTGTTGTTATCTTGCGCTTTAACATTTCATGCTTGATGATCAAATAAAACAACATATAAATCATTGTCCATGTTTATAGTTAATGGTAAATTTTGGCTAAAGTCCTCGACAATAAGAAGAACGAAAATGCCTTTTATATTATACTGTTTTGGTGTTATATTATTACGGGCTTTTAATAATATAATTTATTAGAGGCCGTAATCCTAAACAGTGGGCGGGTCAAATTTCTGAAAACCTAGGAATCCCCATAAACGCCGCACTCCACCAGGTGAAGGAGCGAAACCAATGGAGACAGCTCGTTGACCAATTGAATATGAGTCACGATCCTCAGCAGTGAGGGAACGACTAAGAAGAGAGGATAACGTAATAATTATTGTATTGATGCTTCCCACCTGGAGACTACATAAAGTTTCGTCGATCGCAAAACCCGTAGAAAGCGTTTAACGGCTTTGCGTATTAATAAAAAGCGGGTTTCAGCTACAGACCGTTAAAGAGCGTTGATGTGTGAACCATGTCCATGACTGGCAACTACATCAATCATTTGCCCTGAAACAGTGCGCCGTGTTTCATGCCGTGCTTGCAGGCAGAATGAACGCGTTGTATATTGAAGTTTTGTTAGTATTTTGAACAATCTGAATTCTTTGGGTGTACTGTAGAAATGTGCGCAAGGTACGTGGAAAAGACGTACAAACTTGTAGATAAAGAAATTAAACACGTTCTGTTATTATGTGCATGTTATGTAGTACAAGTATGTACAAATTAATAATGTTGTAATATATCGGTGGTGGAGCCACGCAGCAGCCTCGGCTGTTGCACGAATGGGCAGGCTCGTCCGGGTAAGTACCACGACCTCACAGAAGACCGGCGTAAAGTGGAAGTGTGACAAATACTTTCGCGTTTCGTCTGGTGAGTGAGGTAGCCGGAGCCCAATTTCCAAAAACTTGTCAACGCATCTGCAAACCCTAGGGTGTCCACTTAACATCAGGTCAACCGTCTGCTCGTTTGACAACTTTTCACATAAAAAAACCATTTTCTTCTAATATATGAAAAGAATATGAGCGGTATACGTAGCTCCTAGATATTTGACCTTCCTCTACCAAGTGATCGGTTGGTCGAAAACAGGAGCAGTAATTATTAAAAGTAAAATATCAAGAAAATCTTTGATCTCGAAAAGTTAAAACGAACTGGTGTAATACACAATACAATACAATACCAGCCTATTGCCGTCCACTGCTGAACGTTTCTCTGGCAGACAAGATTCGAAACGAAGTCATTCGCCAGAGAACTAAAGTTACCGACATTGCGCGCAGAATTAGCGCACTGAAATGTAAGTAGGCTGGCCATGTCTCCAGACGTGCTCGTGGTCGCTGGAGCCGACACGTGTTAGAGTGGACACCACGGTTAGGAAGACGTAGTGTTTGACGGCCTGCAGCACAGACCTGCAGCATGGACTTATGACTTAAGAAAGGCGGATAATATCGGGCAGCGGATGGATGCGGGCTGCTCAGGGCCGAGATAGTTGGCGCAATTTGGGGGAACTTACGTTCAGCAGTGGTGTAATATATCGAAACCAAAAATTTAATTAAGGAAAAAAGGATACTTTTTTTTTCCAAATACCTTTTAATTATAATCATGAGAAAATTACTGGTTATTCATATTTTTGACACAGTTCCTGACAGAAGTGAATTAATTACTGCGCTACAGTTTCCGTTTGTTATTTAAGGACAGCGGTTATTAGGCAATGACGAAATTTTGTCCAAAACTTTCGAACCCTTGTGTTTCAATCACTTGTATATGTACCACACGCATAAAAACTTACAATTCAGCGTGATTAATTACTCCGAAACATTAAATAATTTCCTCTAATTTTTAAAATGTCAAAAAGCACTGTGATTAATAAATACATAATTGATAAAAATATATTATTGATCTTATGAATTTGTTGAAACACAAATAATACTAAAATCTCT